TTTTTTTTTTTCTTCCTGTATTATTTAGTTTTCTTTTTATCGATTTTTTTTTTAATGTTTATGTTTATAATTTAAATGTTATGTTATTCTCGGTTCAACCGCTTTGCACAGCCCACCTACCAATAATATACTTTTCAAGTTATCTTTTCTCAGAACATAATAAACGAATTGACGAAATTTTTTTTATTTATTTGTTCTTGTTACGATGCTTTTTTCAACGTTTTTAAATTTCAGTCAAGTTTTTTTAAAAATTTACTTAAGAAGGGAACTCGTAATTGGGATTCGTTAAAATTATCATCATGACAGGAATAAAGAAAATCTAGCAGTAATTTTAGAGAATATGTTGAAGATAATATGGAAATGCATAGGAATAGATCATCACCCAGTTCATCTTAGTATGATAATTATTCTTATGAATACATGATTTAACATTAGTTGAATGCTTAAAAAGCAAAAACTTGATGATATAGCAGTAATAAATATGCCAAGTTCAAAAATTTTCCTAATCGGTTAGTTGTTGGCTTTTTAGTTCTGATTTTCATTTTCAATCCTAATTGAAAACCTATCTATTGGTGGTGTTAAAAAAACAACTTTATTCATATCGTTAAAAGTTTCACCCGAAAGATCATTTGTTTTTCCCGGATTTTCTTACTCAAACGTTAATAACATCTCTTGAACTTGACCGAAATCCATATTTTATGCTTTGTTTTGAACTCGGAAGCAAACTCTGTTCATCTCGATTTATAAGAAAAGAAAGTTCTTAATATTTTAACTACATATCCTTTATTTGTTCTCTCATATCGGTTTGGTTCCACCCTTTGCTTATAACTACTCCATCATTCTGTCACGATGTTGACCTTGCGTGAAATTATAAGTTATGTCGATTACGTGGCTTGTTGCGTTATTCTTCGAATATTCTGTTATGGTTAATTATTTTGTCATGAATCCTTCGTGCTCATGGCGTAGTTAAATGAAAACAATAAGTGTGGTAATTGATAGTAAGTTTGCGAGAAATTTCTAACTGATTGATTTAATTTTCATTTTTGCCTTAAATGTTTTAGGAAACTGTATTATGATTTTTTCTTCCAATTATAGTTGAATTATAGTTAGTCATTGTTCTATTTTAGTTGAACACAGATCTTGGGAAGTATTTGTCCATATTCCTTGGCCATCCCCCATGTTTATGATAACTTTATTATCATTCCTGGGCTTAAATTAAGATTTAAATCTTTTTCTAATTGTATTCATTTATTTTCAAAATTGTTAATTCACTAACAAATGTTCCACTGTTGATTTTTGAATAATTTTGTCAATTTCGATCATTCTTTACAAAAATATATAATTTTTCTGTTGATTTTTTCTTTTTGTGTGATTTATTTTTGGTCGAAAACTTTTTTAACAATTTTCATTCATTTTCGAACGTTAATAACTTGAGTTTCCCCCCCCCCACCCCCCTTTATCTCTGGTGTTGATATTTAGGTATTTAATGTTAAAATTATTATGCATTGTTTCTCGGTGTTTCATCCGGCAATTAAAGTGTTTTCGTAAAAATAACCATTTCAAGATCATTTCCTACTATGAAAATGATGTCCCTGCCTGTTTAACGGTACATTTTAGATAACCGTTTTATCTTAGACTATTTGGAGACGTGGATGTATTAACTCAGCCGTATTTGTTCAAACAGTGTTAATACCAGCTGCTAGGAAAAAGACGATTCTTTTAAATCCATTCGAAGAATTGGTGTAGTTAATAAGCTGCATGCATGGTTATATTACCACAACTTTGCCAAGGTTAGTTATCTCTCTTTTATAACTTTGGCCTTCTGAAATTGAAAGTGTGTGCTCTTAAAAGAAAATTGAAAAATCCCGAAATTACATTTTAAGCGCTTCGTGTTAAAAGTCACGTGATTTATTATAATTGAGATTTCTTTTTACTATTGTCGGGTGTTAGTCTGAATAAGGCAGTTGACATCCATTCGCAATTTGTTAAAACTTAAAATGAATTTTCATTCATTTCATTTCATTTTCATTCACACTTTTTTCATTCCTTAACCCTTTTTTTAAAAATTTAATTATTTGTAAAATAGTGTAGTAAAACTATACATTAATAATGATAGTTACTTAAATCTTATGGTTAATTGCGTCTGTGTTATCTAGTTCAATTTAATGGATTGAAAAACTGGAAATTAGGTATGCTGCGGACCTAACCACCTCGTAACTCACCGAATCTTACTGTATTTTCTCCATATTTATTTAATTATTATTGAATTTTTGTAACTCAATAAGTCATTCTGTATAGATAGATTTTTGAGCACACCTAGTTTGAGAAAAATTGTTTGTGCTTTATGGAATTTTTTTCTCCCTCTCTTTACTTTACATCAAGTGTCCTCTTTTCGATAACAGTACTATTGATAAGTTGTATTATCTTTTGAAGAATTCTAAAAACATCTTTGTTGTATCAGTTGCTTAAAATGTATCGTTTTTCTTTTTATTTGGCTAACCTTAGTGCACTGGAATGATTGGAGGAGAATATGTCACTTTAGATTGTGTCGTTGTTATGTTTATTTCTAGTTTTGTAATTAAAACTAGTGTAATCATTAACTGGGAAACCTAGTTAATGATTACACTAGTTAGGATGCAAGGCTTACGAATGGTCTCTGTGCTGCTAAAAGCTACAGAATTAGTATAAGATAAAACTCTAAAACTAATTTCAATGAACTTTAAGAAAACATCGAAATTATAACTTTATAATCCGGAAGTATAGGGGTACTACTACTACTTGAAGAAATTTAAATTTTTCGAAATTTTGTTGGAAGAAATTTTTTCCCACCAAAACGTTTTCAAATATTATTAAGGTTAAAAAATTATATAAACGTGGAAAATGTACATATAATAAAAAATAAATAAAGTAAAAATATATAAAGTTGCACCGAAAACGTTAAAAACCAGCCATAATTTAATTTTATACATAAAAAAAACAAAGTGGATAAAACTTGTTTTTTTTTTAATTCGATACTTTTTCTTTGCCTCCTGTTTCTGACCGAATAATTATTGTTACTACACTAAATAATGTTTTAATCGACTAATATAGGGGGCCGTTCAAATATATAAATGAAACATTCATATATTTTGCAATTTGCTCTCCTACCCCTTTGTCAGGAAAAGTTAGCACGTAACAAACTTTCTCCCATGCGTATACATGAGAAGTTGTAACACCCCTTAGTTTTTGCTATAACTTTCACTGTAGTAAACTAGTTAAGGAGAGAGGGCAGTTAACCGAAAACTGCTAATTGAGGGAGGGGTATAAAATTGCATGAGACAAAGTTTGCGGTTTAATTCATTTTATAAAAATTTGAGTTGAATATTCTTTATGAATCTTTTGTTGTTAAAACTGTCGAAGAAATTTTCGCCACTATTTTCTTTCCCGAATTCAACTTTTAGTCCACATTTGAAACTTTTCCACGCGTAATATGTCGTTAAAAATTTTGTTGTTGTTGTTGTTGCTTTTCTTGAAAATAAGGGGTTTTTTATGTCTTGATTAAGCATTCCTCAAACTCCCCTTCTCTTTGTCAACAAAAATTTGCAAATCCCGAGCCTCCTTCCCCGTTAGGCGCTTACTTAATATGTGAACGACCCCTTAGCACTAGATTCGTTACCACCCCCGATAATCATTTTTTTCTTCTGCTGTCTTCTTGAAAGGATTGTGTTCCTCAAATATGTATATAAGTTCTGAATTAATTAAAAACTTATTTAAGTCAATGTTTCTTTTACGATGAAGTGGAAAACAACAGTGGTTGGATGCGTCTTTAGTTTCTAAAAGAAACTAGAAACTGCTATTTTACGCACCGTATCCAGCCAAAAAAAAATTTTCTTTTTAGCTGATGCGGCTAACTTTGTAGGGAAAAAAAAGTTGAACGCCGAAGAAAAAGCCAATATTTACGACTTGAAAAATAACTTCCGTGTTCGTGACATATTCATCTTGTACTGTTGCATAAATAAAATCTTACCGCTGACAAAGGGGAAAAAATATCTGGGAGTTGCTTGAACTGTAATGCGAATTTCGAGCTGTTACTAGGGGATTTGCATAGTATATCGGGAAAAAAAGATGATTCGACAGTTTTTATCAATACATTTTTTTGAGGGTATGGTGTTTGTCTATATTTATCTCTATCACTTGCACTTCCTATATTTTCGATACCATTTGCAGAGGCTCATCGTATAACCTTAAATTCTATAGTTGTTTATAAATAATTTTGTTACTTTTTTTAGCAAAGGATCTCTAGGAATTTACTTTTAAATTGATAGCGGTTTGCTATTCAATTTGAGCTCAGTAAAATGTTTCTTTTATTCATTTTTATCAAATCTTAATCCTTAGATGTTAAAGATATCTTAGGATATTTGATTAAAAATAAAGTATTTGTCTGAAAAGTGTGCAAGGAAGTGTTGAACATATGTGTGTTAATTAAAAAAAAAGTTGTAAACACAAAATTGAAAATGTCAGTATCCAAAATAGAACTCTTATGTCCAGTGGATATTGAGTGCATTTTAAGTCATAATTTTTTTTTTAATAACTGGAAAATTATTTTAGAATTGATCGAAAATAAAAATATGGATATAAGTTTACTCGGATGTTATTTAAAATCTAGACCTGTTCCTAATTTTTCAACATGTTCTTAAAACCTCATAGTTCACCAATAAGGAATGAGGGATTTTTTTTTCTCAATAATTTTGTATTAAATCTCCTGAAAACTAGAGTATATGAACTTGAGAAAAATAAGCAGTTGTGCTAAAACTAATTAAAAATCAATCTATTTTCATTAAATAAAAGTAAGAAAAAAAAAGCATTGTTTAAAACTTGAAACATGTTTTTTTTTATTGGAGACTATCACAAATCGTATATATTTTTTCTTCTTGAAAATGTTAAAAATATATTTTTAATATTGTATTAAAATAATTTTTGACTGACTACCAGGGAATTCAAAATATGGTTTCTTTTTGCAGGTACATCGGTAGACTTATCATCGAGTCTACTGGATATGTTCGACACGATTGTGGCGAAAAACACCCTTGAAAATGGCACTTCCGGCGCTCCATCTAGTGAACAACATTCTGCACCTTCCTCACATCCGGCTTCCGGTCCTCCCCCTTGTGATCCAGGAGGAGGGAAGAAGGCACCCTTTACAGGACACCGTCCCATTCGAGCATACAGCAAACGCAGCTATTCCGACAGTGCTTTTCAGGTAATTTCTTTTTATTTTTTTTACCTACATTCAATTTTATTATTTTATTTCTTTCTTTTTTCGTGTATGGGAATCCTTACACCTGTTTTTTATTTATTTATTTTTTAATGTCTTTCTCTACAAAACGTGTTCTTTTTCTTTATTTAAAGATAGGTAGCATTAAAATATTACGTAACTATATTTCGGCAAATTAGGAATTCCTCCCCTCCTCTTATACTTAGATAGTGCAAAATAAAAGGGACAAATTAGTTTTGCTCCGAACTGATCATATCGTGACTGCCTAAATGATTTTTTTTTTCTGCAAATATCACCTTCAGTTTTGATCCCATTATGAAGCATAATGAACTCAATCCCAACATATAAATCTTAAGATAAATGTTATATAGTACATAATGAACTCAACCCCTACATCTAAATCTGAAGATAAATGTTATATAGTACAATTATTCCATGTAAAATAAACATTGAAATAAATATTTTATGATAGAATTGTTCCATGTATAATAAATATTATTCAGTATATTATGAATTTTAAGCAAAATATTACATAGTAGAATTGAATCGATGTGTTCGAAACTCCACTTTCCCCCCCCCTCCAACATTGAATTTCTTACATATTGAAGTTCAGTTGACGTAGATACACAGTTAGGATATAAAAATTCATGTCCTACTACTTGCTAGTTATAGTCTATTTTTGGCAGTGAAACATCTATTTAGTTTGAAAACATGCCATATCCTGGAGATGACCTGTTTTCGGAATAAACTTTTAAATATATCGCCATGTGGCTGAGGGGGCTGTGGTTGTTGCTTATAAAATTTCCCATACGTTCTGGTCTGCGGGCCGTAGTTTACCCATCCCTGGTTTAGGGAAATAAATATTTTTACATTTTGTCTCAATTACTTTATACTGTGAATATTGTTATTATTTTTTTCATGTTTTGCGCATTTTCATTCGCAGGAAAAGAAACGACCCCTGAGTAGCAGTTCTGTCTCTTCCTCATCAAGTTCCTCATCCTCCTCACTGCCTCGCAACAGCCTGGATGTGAAGAAATCCTATCTCGCCAGCATCGAATCTTTGGACGATGATGATGACGACGATGACAATCACTATAATGAAGATGCCAGCAGTCGGGTGGGGCCGCCCCGTGATGGGTCGAGCGGCGTTGGCTCCGGAACATCAACCACGGGCGGACCCGTCAGTAACAGGCCTCGTTGGGTCGACCCGAATCTTAGTCACACAGACAGAGTGGTCCTCGAGATTGTGGACACTGAAAAAACCTATGTTCGTGACCTAAACGAAATTATCGAGGTATGTTTATATTAAATACCTGTAATTGGTTTATTAGAGAGATTTTCCACGCTCACGTAGCATATCGTAGCGTAGGTACTGCGCAGATCTTAAGACTGTTTTTCGAAGGCTCTGTCGTAATATGAATTGATGCTTTTTTTACGAATAATATGCTATTTTTATAACTGCTGTGAGTTAGCAACTGTTACTCGTGACTGTTAGGTAAAATTTAGCCTATCTAAAGCTAGCGCTGTCTACGCTTAGTTTGAAAATGGCGTGAAACGTCAGTATGGAGAAAAGCCACAGTTATGTGAAAATTAAAAGCGTTAGTAGTCTAATTTTTTATTATTTAAAAACTTACTTCCTTGCTACATTACCTGGGCTCATAAAAATTTGCAAAAACTGAGAATACGGCAGTAATTTTGATAATTTTCATTTAGGTGGGAAAATGTCGCCAAATTGGCGATTTTTAAAACAGTTTAATGAATTTTAAAATATTTAGGTTATTTGTCTGTTGTAGCAACACCTCCTAGAAAAGAGTAGGCCTCTGCACGGGTTACCATAAATATCCTTTAGTAGTCCAAACGTAATGACATATTTCGTATTTTTAACCACTGCGCAGCTTAGTACCCCGAACGTTATGACATCTTTCTTATTTTTAATCAACTGCGCAGTTAACTTCGTCACATCGGACTACTAAATTGATCCAAGCTGAGGCCTTCCTTATTCTAGGAGGTGTTGGTTGTAGCCCAGATAATTCTTTATGGCAAGATTATATATGTTGTATAAATTCATCTCAGTGCTTCAAGTGTAAGGAAGGCACTTAAACTATGGCTTTTTTATTTCCATTTGCTGAGCTTCGAAAAACAGCTTAAACATACCTGAGCATGCGGAATGCGACGTGAGGGTGCAAAATCTTAAACTAAAATCGTTGGCTTACTTCAAGTTAAATCATTAGAAATGTTTGTCTCCTCCTAAAATTGGAGAAGTCGTGTCACTTAGAATCGTATTTAATATTTAAATACGATTATTTAATCTTTAAATGCGATTTATACGATATCAAAATTTAATCTTTTTAAAAGTATGCTAAGACATGAGTCACAGTTTAATGCGATTAAATTTACCATTTAATGCCTAAAGCAAACATGTAGCAAATTCAGGGAACGCGTCGAAACAATTCGGTTCAAATTAAACGAAGAACAATAACTTTTTGTTACGATGTTCTGAAAAATTAAATATGCATTGAACGTAGCATCAATTCTGAAATAACTTTCGCTGTTTTTAGTTCAATTAAATCATAATATCGTTCAAGCATCGATGATTCTTAATGAGACTCGGTGCAGACTACTGAGTGTGACCTAGTAGAAGAGAACCTCTGCATTCAGTATGTATAGTTGTTACCTGTAAGAACAGTTACTATCTGTTGAATTGTAGGTCATTTCAGATCTTTTATGCCTTTGATAAGGGAAATTTTGTTTGATTTTCTACTTTTTAGCACCCCCCNCCCCCCCCCCCCCCCAATGTTTGGAAACTTTATGGCACTTTACTAAAATTTAAAAACATAATTAAGTTTGGTTGGAAACATTATTCTGTAATACCAATTTTTTGCACCTTGACTGATCTAGTGACAAAATTGTACCTTGAACTACTCCAAGCTGGATGCATTGAGTACTTCTAAACACCATCTAGTACAATAAGTGGACTAGGACTAGACCACCTACAAAATTTTTGTATTCATAGTAAATTAATGAATTTTATAACAATACTTTACATTTACATCGCATTTATAATTTAATTGATTTATTTTAGTTAATGCTGACTCTTTGGAAACTTTATTAAAAATAACTTTTGTTGCCTGGAACTTATTTCATCGAATTTTAACTTTCAAGTCTGCGAGACAAGAACTCAAAATGAGTGTTGTGTTGTTCAAAGCATGTTAATTTTTATTTATTTATTTTATTATTAACTTTAATGAAATTATATTGTTTTGCTGAAGTCTATAACAGTGTTCATTCTCGAAAAAATGAAATAATATTAAATACATAATAATAATTAAGTGGCGAACTAACAATGTTTGTCTTAAAAATTTCTAACTTATTTAAACTGTTTCGTTTTGCATAAAATATGAAGTCAAAATTGTTGATCCATTTCTATTTGTGTTACCTTTTTAATGTTGCGTTAACCTGATTTAATTTAATTTATTATTTTAAATTCCTTGGAAAATAATTTTTTATGGTAGAAGAACCACCAGTTTTCCGTTGTTAAAAAAGATCCGATTCCCAACTTTTCACTTGATGCCAATCCTTAGATGTTAAAGNATATTCTGGAGATTTTTTTCAAGTTCTTCGGCCTTTTCCTTAGGGAAATTTTGTTTCTTATTTGCTGCTAAAAAATGGCGTCTGATTCAGTCAATGACTTTGATGGAACTAAATGAAAACGTGATAAATTAATGTCCGATATTTACAGGCTCCCGCTAGACGGCGTACTCGAGCGTTGCGATCGCGAATTATATTAAGCGACGAACTAATAATGTTTGTCTTAAAAATTTCTAATTTATTTAAACTGTTTTCGTTTTGCATAAAATATGAAGTCGAAATTGTTGATCCATTTCTATTTGTGTTACCTTTTTAATGTTGTGTTAACCTGATTTAATTTAATTTATTATTTTAAATTCCTTGGAAAAAAAAATTTTATGGTAGTAGAACCACCAGTTTTCCGTTGTTAAAAAAGATCCGATTCCTAACTTTTCACTTGATGCCATGCCGTACAGCAACTTCATAAAAAAAAAAAAAAAAAAAAAAAAAAAAACTTTTTTTTTGCCTTGCGATGAAATAGATTTGGGTTAAGGTTTTTAATATGTCGATCGTGTGCCCCTTCTTCATTAGCATTCATCTGTGCTTGACTTCGTTTTCACTCTCTGGCTTGATTTGCGTAATATAGTATTTTAAAAGAATGTCAATTGCCACTTTTTTCCTACGTCTTCTTTATTTTTTACTCTGCTTTCAGCGGCTTAGGAAAATTTAAAAATTTGTTCCGTTAGAATTAAAATAATGAGTTCTTAAGGAAACCAATGCGCAATGTATATAGGAATTAAATCAAGGAAGCGATGATGTTTAGAAAATGTAATTGAAACTTATTCAGGCGTGTGCTATAAGTGCATGAAAATCTGAGAAGAGCAATAATTATTTTTTCAAATGGTGCATTTAATATTTTTTCGTGCAAATATTAATTTTCAATCAGTGTTATTTATGAGTTTCGATACTTAATTTAATTTTTTTTAAAAAAAATTCCTCTTCAGTGCAAATAAAAATTTAACTTATCTTTTGAGGGAGGTAAAGTTTGTTTAATTATGTAAGTTAACAATCAACTTTTTTAAACTGTATTTTAACGGTCAATTTAAGATCCAAGTTTATTTAATTCAGATTTGTGTTATCGTAACAATAATTTATGTGTCAAATAGCTCAAAATTTTAAAATGCATTTCTTTTTAAAGTTTATTTTTTCTTTTTAAAAATTCTATCTATTCTACTTTCACCTGTTTTCGAATTCTTATGCTTTATTGTATTAATTTTAAATTTAAATTTATTTTTTTTTCATTAAAAAAATAATAATTTTCATAAATAAAATAAGAGTTGACGGAGGTCTACATTTCGCTAAATGAAAAGTATCAAAGAAGAAAAAAAATTCTAGTCGTTTATTTTTTTATTAACTTTTTAAGCTCGTTTTTCGACCACATTCTTAAATTTTAAATTTACTGAGTTTCCAAACAAACTCACATTTTCTTAACTTGTTAATTTATTATTTTACAAGATTAAAAGGTTTCAATAAAAGTAAATTCTTTATGGGAGGGAAGGGAAAAAAATAAAAAACGAAATTGGCTATTTTTAACGTAGCATTTTCTCCCTAAGGTTCGAACTATTTCTTAACTTATCAGTGATATTCCACGTTTCACCGTAAAATGCTGGAGTGTAATAGGTTTGATTGGAAATTCCACTGGTATCAATCGAATTAAGGTTGATATTGCTATCTTTTAATGATTTCTCAATCTGCTACAAGTGGTGTTTTATAACACCAGATCTAACCTTCCATTAATTTTTACGATCTTGTTTGTTTTTAACTCTTTTGATTGGTACATCATTTTATGTTTCAATCATCACCAATTCCAATTTAATGTGCAAACAAGTATAATGGGCGGAACTTTATTTGGCAGCCGGATTCTTTTGTTCCCCAATATACTCATGACGTCACACAGGTATGTTGTCGTGATCGTAAAACATCTGCGGTTAATTAAGCTTCGAAGAACGGGAAAAATGTGGCATTTATCTACTTGGCGGCGAAGATTGATAGGCACCATGTTTTTTTACTCCAGTAACGACGTGATTTATCATTTATACGTGAGAAATTGAAAGTTTTAAGATACCTTGGCGAGAGAGTTAATCGACTCTGTAATTAGTGGCGACGTTATATCTATATTATAGTTTACATAATTTCATGATAACCTAGTTTGAAATTGGATTCATTTAGAAGCTAAGATATACAGCGGGTGATCTTGTGATGATAATCCGAAAATTATGATATTCTTTGATGTTATTCATCGAATTAACTTTTCTTCACGAAATTTCATACGATTATTATTCCTATTTTTCTGTTAATAATATTTATTAATTTATTTTTTATTCCTCTATTTGTTTCAAAGAATTCGCCCTATTCATTTTAAATACAAGCCCAGGAACTTAAAATACCCCTCGTTATCTTTCCTCATATTTTCGTCAACTCCCGTCAGATTCAGTTTGTAACACCGTTTCGCTCTGTTTACCTAGATTTGGTATTATTTACGTTTGACGCAGAATGGTGGATTTTATATCTTGACAATTCATCTTCCATTTTCTCACTCAGTTTTCTTGCAACAGAGTTAATTTTTTCTTAAACTGGATTTAAAAGTTTTCTATGAACTAAACATAACTATACTTTTCTTATTTAAGATTTTCTGTCGTGAAAAAAAAAAGAAAAAACAAATTATAGAAGTAAATTAAAGACAAAAAAAAAACTTGTTTCATCTAACATTTAACTAAAAAATCTAACATTTCTGTGAAATGGGGTCTATTTATATTTGATCGATTATTAATTTCTTATCATCTTACCCCAAAAGATGCCTTCCAGGACATTTAAGTAATTCAAAGATGTGTACGTATTAAAAGCTGATTGGCAATTCTAATCTTTTTAAATCCTGGCTTGCAATATTTACTTACAAAATTTTATTACCACTATAAATATTGTTGAAAGGTTGAACTTCCTGTTTGGCAGCTTTGAACGTCCCATTTTTGGAAATTGACAGGTTTGCCACCACCCAAGTTAAAAGTATTTTTCTCTCGTCTAAATTTATATACCGTTCAATTCCACCGCATCTAATTGGATTTTATTTCGTGAACATTCATAGCATTTCATTCACATATAAGGCGTTCAAATTCTTCTTTTATAGCTCTCTTGACAGGTTCTGTTTTCTTATGCAATCGGCGTTGAATCATATATCAGAACATGACGTAAGTGTGATCTTTGCAGCGCATCTTTGATCTTTCCAGCTGTTTATCAAGCGCACACAATGTTTTATTCCTCCCCTCGTGTTTATCTGCAGGTGCAAAATAACAAACCTTTCCCTTTGCGTGCTTCCATCATCTCAACAACTCCCCTCCATCGTTTTGCAGTCGGCAAAGTACAAATGGTCACGCATTTTTCTTTCTCGTTTATTGCCTGAATAACCTTAACATTCATTTTGAAGGAAAATGTTATGGGCATGTCTATCCCAGCTATTATTTTCCATATTCATTCAAGGTCCTATTATCCCAATATTTCGCCTTAATTAAATTTAAAAAACACACACACACACATATATATAAAGTTCTGAACTAAACACACATTCGTCTTCCGTTTTTATTAATTTTAATTTTTTTAAATTTTTTAATTTGTTATTTTTTGAATCATTCAGAATTATCACAAGATTGCAAATTTGTCAGGAGCCAACATGTTACGGAAGAATAACAGCTCTTTGCTTTTGTAAAATTATCTAATGACAAACAACTGTTGTTTTTTAATTAAATATTTCAAAATATGAAATTTTCAGCAGTAAGCAATTTTAATGCTTAAGCTACATGCTAAAAACTCCATTACTAAGAGCATAATATTCAAATACCTTTTAGTGTTTAAAGACAAGCAAATAAATCTATTTATTTAATTTTGGAGACTTTTTATTTCTAAAACTGGTTTATCTGAAATTAATTTCCTTGTTTGGAGAATTCTGTTTCATAAACTGTGCTCTAAACTTTCTATATAGATAGTTTTGTTAATTATGAGTAATACTATGTTTAGACTAATTTAACATGATATACCAATATCACTGAATATATATAAATTTAAAAATTTAATTAATATCAAATTTCGTTAGTTTTATCAAAAACGAAGAGATGAAACGAAATTTCTTCTTATCCAGGTTCTACTTTTTTTCTCCATCTACATTTTGCCTTGGGGCTGTGTATTTGTTGTGCTTCATCAACCATATTACAAACTAAAATGAATTCATGAGTCGAAAACTTTATTGGCATACATACATTTGCGTTAAATCATTTAAGTTTAAATGTGCCCTTGTTCAAATTATTATATTCTTACTCTTTCGTAAATGTGAGTGTTTTTTACCGACTAAGAGCCCTTTGGTACCAAAGCTTCCTCAAGACATGGACTGGTGCCAAATAGATAATTTTTTTTCTCTCTCTTAATTTCTTCTTCTGGAAAGGGTGTTTTTACACTGAGGTCAATGCCGTAGTTGTGTTTTAGCTTCTTTTTTAATGTTTACCAAACAAACTGTTATAATAGGTTTTTGTTTAAATATTTTGTAGGGAGTGTGTTTTAAATCTTTAAACTAGATGCCAAAAGTTAAATTCGATTTCCTAAGACATTTAGCATTTAATCATGTATATATTAAAATTACAAAAATAAATAAATATAAATATTTTGTGTGTTTTATTTTGTCTTCAATTTTTCTTAAATTCAATCCCAACTGAGATCTTTTTTTCCTTTATAGGGTTATCTTAAGCATATTGGAAATGCACAAGAAGCTAAAATTAGTCAACAATATTTAGAAGAACTATTTAGTAATATTGAAGATATTTATAGATTTAATAGGTAATGTTTATTTCCCAATATTTCATTATTTTCAGGATTGACTTAATTTTTATAATTTTTTTTATTCTGATTATTTTCTACTTGCTTATTGTTTTAATATCTCTTAAACTGAATAATCATTGACATTTATTTAAATGTATACTTATATATTTCTTAGCTCTTAGTTTATATTAAATTTTTTCAGCTTGTTTTTAACTGAATTGGAATCTTGTGGGCTGGATCCCGTAGCTGTTGCTAGGTGTTTTGTAAAAAACAGCACTGGTTTTGAAGTTTATACCCAATATTGTACAAATTATCCTAGGTAAGATTATAATTATTTTTTCTTAACTTTATTAAATTATAGTTAATGTTTTTTGTCTTAAGTGTGCTTTTACTTTGAAAATTGTTTATCTATACCAAGTTTTTAACCACTTAATTGAATACAAAGTTTTTAGCCACTTAATTGAATACAAAGTTTTTAACCACTTAATTGAACTTAAAAACTTCATTCAGTGGAAAACTTGCATTCTTTGCTGCAATGCAATTTGGTTTTTTTCCATTTTGTCTAATGTGGGTGTATACAGAATTTAGATTTTCATTAGCTTAATAGCTAAACTGTTTATTAAATTATTATTAAAAAAATGTATGTAATTTTTTCTCAAAAATTTTTAGCCTTTTAATACTTTATTATTTTGTATTAATTGCATAAATTTAAATGTAAACTATCATTTCAGGACTGTTTCTATTTTGACTGAACTCATGGGAAATTGTGAAACTGCTGAAATATTTAAAGTGAGTTTTTATTTGGTTGTTACTCTGAATGTTGTGGAAGAAAGTAATGTTAAAAGCTGAAAAAAATTGTTTAATAAAATTTTTCTCTCAGCAACTGACAGTTTATTTAAGTTTCTAAAAAAGTCTGGTTTAGTATTTTAAAAATCTGTTTCAGACTTGTTAAAAAAAAATGTTTTAAGACAATAAAATTTTTCTTATTATAAATTCTTAATTGAAAACTTGCAAAAAGGAGTAGTGTTTTTTTTATGAGCTTAAATGGGAAATTCATATGAATTTCTTTAATAGGACTCTAAATTTTGTAAGATAGATGTTATATGAATTTATGTACAGTTCTAAAATACTTCTTCTTAAATTTAATTCCTTTCTAAATTGAAACTGTTGTAAACATTTATCACTATATTATTAAAACAGTGTCACCGTTTTGTTAATTGAAATATCTATTTTGGTTTACTTAATATTCTTGATTTGTTAATTTCATGTATTTATCATTTGCAGGAACGTCAAATGGCCCTTCAACATAGTCTTCCTTTAGGTTCATTTCTACTAAAGCCTGTTCAAAGGATTCTTAAGTATCATTTATTATTGCAGGTGAATTTTGTTTTATTTTACTCATATTTACTAAAAAAATAATCATAGATTCAATTTTGTTTAACAAAGTGCATTAAGGAAGTTAAAAATATAGTTTACTGGAAATCTATAATTTAGAAATATAATATCACTGGAAATATTATGCATTAATCATTAATTAAAATCCTATGAGTAATTTTCCTGTTGATATTAGAAAAAATATGTTAAAATCATTAGTAAAAACAAGAGTGGCTACTTTTGCTTGGGCTAAAACTATATATTTTTCAATCATAAAGATAACTTTATTTGAAGACTTAAATTCATTAAATTAATTCATGTAAACTTTATTCTGTTATTACAAATTTGATTTAAGCGTCTGGTTTTAGTTGATTACTTTATATGTTTCAAACTTTCAATATTCCTTAATAGTTATTAAAAATTTGATCCTTTATAAAAGTTCAATGTTTAATTGTGAAAAATATGATCCTATTAATTTTTTTTTTAAAGTTTTCAATATGATTTAATTACTTTTAAAATTTAACACATATTAAAAGCTTTCATATATTTAATATGAATATGTTTCTTTTATTGTTTAGAATATGGTTAAACATGCTAATAAAGAATGTGATGGCTACTGTGATGTTAAAAACGCATTATCTGTTATGACTGGAATTGCCTACCATATCAACGATATGAAGCGTAAGCATGAACACGCTGTAAGAGTTCAAGAGATTCAAAGTTTGCTTTATGGATGGGAGGTAAGGATAGCTCTTTTGGTTTTAGAAATACATATCTGGATGATACATTCTATTTTGGTTATCGAATGTAAATAGGATAATATTTTGATTTTTATCATCGCAAATTTTATTCTTAAAATGGGAACATATTTTTTGTAGGGGCAAGATTTAACAACCTATGGTGAGTTAGTAGCTGAAGGAGCTTTTCGCATGTATAGAGCAAAGGCATTAAGACATCTCTTCCTCTTTGATAAAATGTTATTGATTGCAAAGAAGAAAGAAGAAGGAATATTGAGTTACAAGACTCATATTATGGTAATGCTTAGATTAATCTAAATTTTTAAACGCATGTTATATGTTTTTAATAACATGTCATTTATGTTTGGGAGCATTAAAGTTGTAATTTTATATTAAAGTAATTGTAATGCATGATACTGTTACTGAATATTCTTTTAGTTTTTATTTATTTTTATTTTTTTTTTCTTTCCTCAGATATTTTTTACTCTTTTTCATTCTGTTCACTTTTCTGGAGAATCAATTAATTTGTATTACGTTTATGATGTTTAGCTAGTTTTTTTCTCATTAACATCTTAATATTCTGTTAGTATGTCATTAGTGAAGTAGTTCAGCCATTCATGTATTTTGATTTTCAATCAAAATCATAAATATTTGTTAAGTAAATCTTTTTGTCATAGATTTATTTTAGTTTACATTTTGATTGTCATATTTTTATTTGCTATTTCAAATCCATGATTTGCTATTACAAGGCAAGGATGATAATGTCAGTGTATTCCTCAACTTTATAGTATTTAAGGTAAAAAAATGTCTCCATTTCATGCAAGGTTTTTTAAAGAGACTTTTCAAAAATTGAAAATAGTGTAATTTCTAGATTAAAATTTTCCTTAATATTTAATTTCCATATTTAATTTTCCTTTTGTTCATATGTGATTTAAGAGAGTATTTCTTTTGAGAGTAATACCTTAAAACTTTCATGCGTGTGGCATTTGTTTTCATTTTGACTTATTTACTAGTTAAACTATGAAAAATTCCTAAGAGTAAGATAATGTAAAAGATAATATTTAGAAAATCTTATAAGTATCTAGAATAACCTTTAAAAAAATCATAATAGTTTTTTTCCTTTACAGTTGTTTTTATATTAGTTCTACATTGTTATATATTGGATAACAAAATTTTTAAAAATATTCTTTGTTTATTTTGAAATTATATTCAAGCTATTTTATGTATATTTCAGTGTTCAAATTTGATGCTCATCGAAAGCATTCAAGGGGAACCTCTGTGCTTTCATGTCATACCATTCGACAATCCAAGATATCAATATACATTCCAGGTAACTAAAACAATTTTAAATATTATGGATATAACAAGTGTTAAAAAAAATATGTATTTAATTTAATATTGCTTGGAATTGCTATTTTCATATCAAATTATTGTCTGCAAAACTACAACTTAATGATTTTATGAGATCCTATTATATTTATATTTGTGTAAACATTCACATTACTTGAAAATTGTTCAATATTTATAGTTTTCAATGTATTAAATTTGTCGACTCTACCTTCTTACTTTGGTTGCTTACCTACTCTTTCTTACAAACTTGGTTAACAAAACTTTTATTAGTCTTAAAATGTTGATTAAAACCATCAAATTAATTATAATAAAAACAACTTTAGTTCACCTGTATTGAAACATTTTTTAATCTGTATTATAATGATTATTTTATTCATAATTGCCAGATTTAAAAGTTAACAACTAATTGAATTTATATTAGTGTTTCTGCATTTTCAAAATTTTAATGAACTCTGCATGAAAATAATTTATTGTCTTTAGGTAATTAATAAGAAATGCAATGTGCCTGTCATGGAACAGATATTTAATTATACATAGAGATATTGATGCAATAATTATTGTAATTTTTAATTTTAATAACATTCTTCATGTAATAAACCCATATAATATATTATTAATATTTGATTTGAACTTTGAACAGGCACGTAATTTAGAACAAAAACGAGAGTGGTGTCTCCAACTGAAAAGAGTTATTCTGGAGAATTACAATGCTGTTATACCATCTCATGCACGTCAACTGGTGATGGAATTGGGTCAGAGTAAGCAAGATGGTATGTTTTTTTTTTTGCATCTTAAGCGTGTTCATTTTCATGTTTCTATATTTCATCGAAAATTAAAATTTTTATAAAGTCATGCTTAATAACTTGTATTTTCAAATATGTTTAGTTAAAAAGCCATTTAACATACTTAAAAAGCAGAGCAGCATATTTTAAATTTCAGGAAACTGCAAAATTTTACCAGGCAATTTAAAATTAACAGAAAGTCTATTTTTAGAACTGTAAGATTTTTGTATTGTAACTTCATTTCTAAGTTTAATTTTAATTGATCTATTTAATAAGATTATTTTTTTGTTATGTGTAAAGGAGTTATAAAAAACTTCTAATGAAAACATTTTTAATGTACCCAAAATTAATTATAATTATTTAATTTTGCTCTCTTTTTTTTTGAAATTCCTTCTTTTGAGATTCCTTAATTCAACAAAGTCTAAAGGCATTGCTCATGTTATTCAGTCATGTTGTTATTTTTTATTATCTGAATAGTTGCAGGGATACCAACCTACTTTTTGTTCATTTCTAAAGCATTGTAATTTTTTTACTCACTAGCTTTATCTTATTATCACCAGGGATAAATAACTTATCTATTTAGTCAATATGTATCTCCTAATGTTTTTTTTAAATTTTTTTTAAAGCATTTAATTTTTTAACTGAACACAGAAGATTGAAAGAATTAGAGAAATGGATGTTATAAAGGGATCATCTATAAATTCTCTTTTCTTAATACTTTTCACCCCTTTTTTCCCTTTGTCATAAAATGCCACACTTACCTTACCCTCTTACCTCCCTCTCACATGTTATGCTACTTTACATAAATGTATACTAGGAGATCAAAACTAGTTATAGGTCATACTTCAAATTTTATTTTTGAACTTAAGCAATCTGTTATAATAACAATGATAGCATAACAACAATAATAGTTAGATGTGTGCTTTTTTCTAAAATGTTAAATTTGAAGGAAAAAAAATGTATTTATATGAATATATTTATTATACTGTTTTCAATTGTTTTTATTTTGACTGAAATGTGTGAGGTTACACTTAGCCACATGTCATGCCTCTCCTTCTTTGTCACCAACAGTCTCAATTTAAAGAACCTCCTCCTTCTTAGATTTATAGACAGCTCCTTAACTTAGTTTTTTATAACAAAATAAGCCATTAACTTTAAATTAAACTGGTAGTTAATAATTTAATATTGCAGCATCTGCTAATATGCCTGTCTATTGCTCTAAGAGAAGTTTCACACTTATCGTATATCCTGGTGTATTAGGCAACTTTTTAAAACCCCAAATAGTACGAAAATCAGGGAATCTACTTATACACTAACAATAAAGACCGACATTTGATGATCGGGAAATATCAATGCATTATAAACAATAAAATAGACATAAATAATCCTGCAACATTTTAACACTTTCAAAAACCATATTTATGTTATATACAATTAATTGTACTTTTTCTTCTTTATATGTATTTTCTTTACATATATAGATTTTATTTTAGAAACATAAAAAATATTTTATATATTATAGAATATTTTAAATTACATAATAAAAAATTAAGGAAATTTAAGATAATTTATTAAAGAACATTTCAAGAAACATAACACAAATGGAAACTTTTAAAACACACCATAAAGCTACAAATTTGAAGATTCCAGAACATCATCTGTGTTGTATTTCAAATACCACTCTGCAATGGATTCTACTTAATCATCATTTTGATTATAACTCAATTTTTTAAATGTTTTTTAATTTTAAAAATTTTTATGTTTGGATTTTTCAGTAATTTATACACCCAACATATCATAAATTTGCTATAGCACAATAGGAGGGCTATTTATACACCGCGATATACGGTACTTAAATAGCTTATTTTCTTTGGTGTGTTTTATTTTAATTTGTGTTTTATTGTAATACAAATAGTTTATTTCTGTACAAATAATTTATTATATATATTTAATCTTAGAAATTTCCATCTATTATAGACTCTGCTGAAAAAAGCACCACCAAGCGACTGCTGTCAGCTCCTGAATATCTAGAGAAACGAAAGCAAGAGAGAAGGAAATCTGAATTAAATATCAATCGCAACCTGAAACTGAAAAAAGGTAAATTATAACAATAAATATAGTTACAAAAAAATTTTTTTTATATCTTTCTAAAATTGCTTTTTGACAATATCATAAATGGTTTAATTTTTACTCCCTTTTTATTTTAAAAAAAAAAGTCTCTAAACCTACTGAGCGTTTTTTATAAATTAAGTACAGTAAGGAACCGATTATCTGGAACGATTGAGACCATCGATATTCCGGATAACTGATTTTTCCTGTTTTCTCAATCGCTACAAAAAGCCATTTTTTTTTATAGTTAAACCCAACTAAAAAAAAACATTTTTTTTAAATAATCTTAAAAAGAAGAAAAAACGATGAAGTAATACACTAATGATTATTTCCAAAATGATGGTAAGGTAAACATCTTTCAAAAAAGAGTGAAAAATTCATAAAATCTAATGAGGGAAAATTTTTATATTTTTTTAAATGGCGGGAAAACTAATCGAATTTCGTTCCGGTTTTCTGATTTTTGTATAACGGGTTCTGTACTGTATAATATTAAAACATACTTAAAAATTTTGTCTAATAATTCTAAAGATGTATGAATTTTATCTATATAATTTTTCTTGAATATCGTTTATTTTTTAATTACTCTAATGATACTTTCAATTATGGATATTTTGTTAATAAATTGGATAGTTTTAATTTTTGTTCTAATTTTTGCTTCTTTTTTTTGCAGGTGTCAAAAAGGTATGCTAATATTGCTGTTTTGGTATTGTATTTTTTATTTTGTTTAATTTAGAAAGTTGTTTATTTTTACTAAGAGTATAGAGTCTGTATGGAATTTTAACAAAAATTATTTTACTTTTCCTTAAAAGTATTAAAATAAATTTAAGATAATAAATAGATTTATGCATATTAATTGCTTCGAAAGGATAAGTTTACTTAAGCTTAAAAGTAATTGATATTTCTCAACAGCAATATTCATTTCAAGTTATTAAAAAATGAAGAAACTTCAGCATTTTTATTGATATTTTATATTTGAGCATATTTTTTAAATATAAGGTTTAGCTTTTTTTATATATATGAACTGGGAAGAAAATTTAGTTTTGCAATTTTTAATGATGCATAAGGGATAGTTTCATTTGAATTTTGTTAATATATCAGTGTTTTGCACATTGCTCTTAAAATTGAGTTTGAGAATTATTGTGAAAATTTGCTTTTGAATTCTTTCCTTATTTGTTTACTTTATAGTGTTATTCTCTAAATATTTTTATGCATTTCAATAATTTCATAAAATATTTTTGTCATTATCCTTTTGGAGTAAATAAATTGCTTTCTTTATTACCTTATTTGTTTAAAAATAATAATTTGCTAATGGTTAGGACTGGGTGATACATTCATGCAGTGGAAAATATCGATATTATGCAATCATCGCTGATCTGAATGTTTATATTGACAATTTTTCAATCATAGGAGATTACCATTTACCACAATGCGTGTTTCCTTATATATTCTTGACTTCGATGTTTACATACATGAGGATGAGCATTGTTCCTGATAGTCCACTTCGATTGTCCCCGATAGTTTCAAGTGCGTGTGAAGAGCACTTCTCTCAACCATGATATCGTTCACCGGGAGCTCACACAAAAAGCATTTTCGTCTTTCGGATCGTAATTGAATAGTAATAACTGTGGCAATGATCATTATCTTTGCCCCAAGTTTCTTTCATCATGACTCATCTTTTTGTTGACATGATGAGTCCTGATGTGATCGAGAATTGAATTGTTGAATTTTTAGTTAAGGAAGCGTGCTTTCTTTTACTTGTTAAATTTCTCTGATGTTGATTTTTTTTTACAATCAATCTAGCGGTTTATAGTTTTTAAACCGCGATTTTGTAGAAACATCGTCTTTAATTATGGAGAAAAAATAATTTTTGTTAGAAAATATAAGGAATGCAATGTTTGTTTTAAAAAATGCAATTTACTGATTATAAATTTTTAATATTTTATTTTTATGAAATTATTTGTTTTACTTTTTTATGCATTTCTTTTTTTTTCTTAATAGAAATTGATAACAATGAATGAAATTTAAGAGGGTGGGGGCCCAGAAAGTATGTACCTTTTGGTGTCAGCAGTTTTGTCTGGTTCTCAATCCATTTTTTATTTTTTAAAAACCTAATTAATTGTTTATAACTCGACAAATTCATAGTATTTTTGGTAAAGTTGCTGATGGTTTAGTTTATTACTAGAATACAATTGCCTTAGTCAATGAATCAAAAAAGCAAGAATTAGAAATTGTGCAATATCAAATGTGAAACATTAATTTAATGAAACATCACGATGCATCGTGATATTGATGCACAGGAGTACCAAAATCTCAACATTGCCCAGTCCTACTCATGGTATTATAACCCAGGCTTCATTTCCCAATAATTGCATTCAATTGTTTCAATGCATAACTCATTTTAGTTAGCAACCTTTTTAAATAAAATTCTAATTAAATAGTGATTTGTGTACTGAAGCAAGTGTTCATGAATAATTATGTTTTATAAATAATGAATTTTATTGATAAATTGATTTACAGTAATTTATTTTATTTTTTTCCTTCCTCCTTTAGAGTGATAGTACTGTGAATAAAAATGTAAGTTGTGGTTTTATTTTTTTTTCCAATATTGTCTATATATTTTATGACTTTCATTATAAGATTAATTAAATAAACTTTTTTTTTTGTAGAATATGTCGAATGGAAGGCACAAAAAAGAGCATACTGATAGTCATGAAAGTTTGAACGACAAATCTTCGTGGACAAAAAGTCAGGTAATGAAGTTCTCTTAATTGTGCTCATAAAAAATTTTACAAAGCACTCATACAAATTTCTGTTTTGTGAAAATAATTCATGTATAATTTAAAAGAGTTATCAAGTATTTAATTTGCTTACTTTAATTTTACAGGAAGATGTACGTCATAAGAAAAGATGGTTTATAGGGCATCTGATCCACAGAGATCATCTTTCCGATTGTTCTTCAACTGCAGAGTCTAATGTTCCTTTCAACAGAAGCTCCAGAGCAAGACACAGTCTTCCGGAACCTTCTCTGTCCCAAAGATCGGCAAACAAAGAAAGGAGGTTTAGACCATCATGGAGGACCTGGAACAGTGTTCCTGAGGAAACGACTGATACGGAAAATGAGGATCTGGATTTGAAGAAACGTTCAGAATATTACCCCCCTTCTCTTTCATATCGTGATAGAACATATTCGGAGGTGTCGGACGAAATGTTTGATAACAGTGGTGAATATGTAACTTTTTTTTATGCTCACTCTTACGCCACCAGAGACATGCAAAATGGAAACATACTGACCAGAAATAACAATGCCGGTCAATCGGACATCGAAGAGAAAAATGATAAAACTTGTGTTGAAATAAATGGAGATTCTAAATGTGATCAAACGAAGGATCCCGATTCTGAAAGTAGTAGTTCAATTAGTTCCTGGAAGCAAAATTCAGCCATTCGCCGTGTCCAGTCCTTCACTGGCATGGCAAAGGCTAGAGTTGCATCATTGCATCACAACATTTCATTTAAATATCATTCCTCATCCAACAGTGAGCCAAAATCAAAATCTAAACGATCTTGTTTACCGCCTAATGGTTTAAGTGTTTTTCCATCTGAACTGAAGGACGAGAGTCCCACAACTCCTGCTGCCTGGTTGAAGCAACAGCAAGAACACATGGCAGATGGTGGTAAGAAAAGTGGGTCTCTACCGCGGAGCTTCCAACTTGTATCTGAAAACATTGAAAGCACCAATGAAAATAAAAATTCCACTGAAGCAAGTGTGTCTCGACTTAGGATACGTTTAGATGGTCCTAGAGCTTTGCATAGCGAGCAAAGGCCTTTTACTATTGCTTCCGACAAACCATCCCAAGCTGATTTTGGGGATGATTTAGACTATGTTGTTTTAGACTACTCTCACTGTGCTGGTTCTGAATATTTTTTATCCCAGAAAGATTCATATGAGCCTGACACTACAACTGGTTGCACAAACACTCCCGCTATAAGTTTGGAAAATGTTCATAGTATTCACCCAGAACTTAAAATATATCACCAGGCTGCCTCCAAATACGCTACTTTGAAGCACTTGTTCACAAACATGGGCTCCAAGATTGCTGGCTTGAAAGCAAGTTTGAGCCCTTCCTCTCAGCATGCAAGTCCAGAACGTGCTAAAATTGAACTCAGTAGCTTTAAAAGATCCAGTAGTCATTCAAGTATAAAAACTGAAAATGAACTTAGCCCTAGACTTTTTACTGCCAAATTAGCTCATTCTGTGGCAAAAGCCTATTCATCTATGATGAAGCACAAAAAGAAGCACGATTTAAAATTAGAGAGGAAGCCTGGCTTCAAAAAAGAAAAGGTGTCAATGGCTAGTTATAAATCTGAAAGTTCTTTAATTGGAGCTCGAATGGCTCAGCCACTAGAATCCGAATACAGCGTGCCAAAGTATATCTTACCACCAAAAATGTTTAAAGACCTTAGACCTGACAGCCTTTTCTCAGAGTCTTCCACAATAATGTCTTCCAGTGACTGTGACAGAAATGGTGTGGCGGAGATTGATTCTGAATTTCCTAAATTGGACGGAGAAGACACTGTATCAGAAGCTAGTGATACGTCTGCAGATAGCTATTACGAAAGGACATTCGATGCTATCGAAAACGCTCTCGCGCACGACTTGTTTCGCGATTCGGCTATTTACAGTGACCCCGAAGATGCGGATTTCAGTGCCATTGAGCACCCAAAGTTAATGGCATGTTTTACTTCTGAAATATCGGTTGAAAAGCAAAATGTTGAACTTAATGGGTATCACAATGGTGATTCTGGTGCTCTTTCTCCTTCTTCCCCTAAAGTTATGTGTGCGCGTCGAGTCAACCAAGCAATATTGGACAGGTTGCGCTTTCTGGAAGACAAAGTTAAGCTCCAAAATGAGGAAAATGCTGCTGTCATCAACAATCTGAAGGGCACAGCCCATAAAAAACTAGATGGGGATAGGTGGGGAACACTAGTATTAAGTAAAGACTTCGAAGAAAGTGAAACCAGCTCTGAGCATTCTGCATCTACAGTAAACACAGTGATGGAGACTATACATAAAGTTTCAAAACCAAATGGAATGCAGAACTCTAAAAGTCCTCCACGTGTTAAAGGATGGGTGAAACATGTTGTTGAAAAACTTCAAGGTGAGGGACAAGCTTAAACAAATTTGCCAATAAATCTGTGCCTTTGCAAACTCCATTGAAATGCAAAACTTGTGCTTCTTAGAAACTGAAAGTTTTAAAAATGTGCTTTAATGTGATGTGATATTTCTTTAAACTTCCATATCTTCCTAAACAGCTCATTGTTCATAATCTGTTGTCTGAAGTGCAGCTAGTAGTTTTTTTTTTTTCTCTTCAAAAGAAATTATGATATTAATTGATGGAATTCTAAGTTAAGATCAATCAATCAGAAAAAGGAGAAAAAAATATTGATCTCTTTTTTTTCTTTCTTCTCCTTTTTTTTAAAAAAAACTTTTTATGTAAAACAGAAAAACATTCTGTAGCTTCTATTCTTTAAAATGTTATTAAATTTAAAACTGAATTTATACTAATTTATTAAAATGTAATATCGTTTTGCTATGTTTGAATTTTTTTTATCATAATTTTGTAAAAATTTATTTTGTATTTACATATTTTAAAAGTTATTGCTACTTTAAGAATTATATTTTGAACGTTTTATAACAAAATATTGACCCTTTTCTTATGTTTCTCCATTTTCTCCAGATTCCCCATTCAAATAGAATTTGAATTCAGATTAGAACAGTTGTATGTGCATTTTTTCACTAATTAAATCATTTCTTATTTCAAATTTGATAAAATGTTACAATTTTTGACCATTTTTAATGTTTAAAACATAATATTTGTTAATTTCTTTTATATTTTTAGTAAATTTAAAACAAATTTGCTTAGTATTTTTATTAATATACAATTATAATATATTTACATTCTATCATAAAACAAGCATCTAAGCTATTGTTGTTTCTAAGAAAGAAATATGTATCAAACAATAAATTTCATAATAATTTTCCTTGTTTAATTTAACATCTGAACTATTTTTATTGTTTTTTTTCTTCCCAAAAACAATTGAAAGTTGGGTGTTAAGCAATGGAAATATTCATATTGAATAATCATTTTTGTAGTAGTGAGGCTGTTTTATGTTCAGGTAAATGTTTCTGAGACGTCATTGCAACTACTAGTCAGTAATAACATAATAGTTATGCAAATTCTATATAAAGCTTCTCTTAATCCGGTTATTAAATTATGTGTTACTTTCTTCAATTTTGAATGAATTATTCAATAAAAAAATTTACATAATTTAAACCTTTTATTTTTAAATTGTGCTTAGTTATAATTTATGAAATATGTATATTTTTAAACCAAGAATTTTCTAAATTTGTGGAACTGGAATGCAAACAAAATGTTTTGTGAAAATGTGCAATTACTTAATGCAGCTTTAGGCGTGAGTTATCCTTTATTTTTAAAAAAAATTATTGTAAAATTATCCATGATTATTAGTAATAATTGATATTAAAATTATTTTTTGTATCAAATTTCAGGTACTTTTTCCACCTGAAGTGCATTTTTTTTATACTTATTGAAAGCCTTATAGTTTTTGGCAGTTATTTTAAAATTAAATTTATTTTCTTGTAAAAATTTTAACTTAAATGTACATATGGTACTTTGTATAAAGAAATGATGTTTTTCTATAATTTATTGTAAATTTTGCATTTTCTACAGTAGTTCACAGCTATAGATCATATTTGTTTTTGTATTTATTGTCTACAAATGTGATGTATGTTGCAGCTCTTGATTTAGTGACATAATTTTATTGTTTTTTCTCTAGTCATAGCTTTTGTATATTATTTATCTATAATATATTTGTACACACATCATTATTTTGTAATCTTGAAGCAAAATTTGATTTTGCAGCTTTCAACTGCCTTGATGCTTAAGTCATACTAGTTTTCTTGAATTCATTAAAATTTTTAAAATTATTGCAACAACCAGGCTAAATAGTTTCAGTTATTTTAAACTTAACTTTTACTCAATTGTAATAAGGTAAAATATATAATAGTAATTAATAGGTGCTGAGTATCAAAACTTGTACTAAGGACTCACATTAATAGTTACAGAAAAAAAAATTGCTTAAATTATGTAATTATCCTTTCACCATCAAGTGTAGAGCAATTGATAAACATTTCTTCCCAATCTAGAAGGGGTGTAGACGAGGGAAAAACTTGAAAATCCTAGATTCCTGTACAATTAAAAATTCCATATCAGAAGTGACGAAACATTTTCACCAAAAATTGTTGGCACATGAAAATAAATTAGTTACATGTCTGCATCCATAAGTGACAGTTAACAGTTTTTCTAAATGGCTAATCAGACTCATATTAAAAATAAGATATAGGAAAGTGGGTTTTCGTAACTACTACTATATTTTAAGTATGAGGTGAACTAACATAAAGCAGTTTTGTTTGTAAACATAATACTTGTGTTAGTAAAATGCTGTTAGCTCGAAACTTCCCATGATATTTTTAAATATATATTTTTTATTTGTATAGCTATCATACTCCCAATTAAACAGTTCTCATCATGCTTCTACATTTTACTACATACAAAACCCAAAATAGAGTGCATTAAAATGTCATCCATATAGTATATATATTTTTAAAAAAAACATGTCTTAGAAACAATGTTTTTTTTTTCTCTTGTAGTCTATATAGTTCAAATTTGCTTCAAAATATAAATTCTAAAGATTTTGGTAACCAACACCTTGTGTTGTATAATACTTTATTATAGATACTTTCTCATTTTTCTTAAATGTATCACTTCTCTCAGCAAATTATTAATGTGTGTACATAAAAAGCACTTTTTGATATAAAGGAATTTATTTACCTGTTGTATATGAAATACTTGCTATTCTTTGCATGCCTTAATAGTGTTTGAGAGAAACTTCCTTTTTAATTATATTAATTGGCAGACATATGGACATATATATATTAAAAATGCATATCAACATGTATACATCCCATTATGTAAACAAATATTTGTTAAATGAATTAATTCATTGCTTTGTATTTATGAAAATATAAATTTAACTAAGATTTTTTCCCTCCAGGAATTGTTATTATGCAAGGGTTCCTTAATGAATAGAATATTCTTTAAAATAAACCATAAATTAGACTTTGTATTTTCTACAAAGTATAGCATCAAACTTTCCATTTAAATAGTAATTTTTTCTTTAAGCATACAGCAAGCAACAATTTTATGTGCAACATTTATATATAACAATGTATTTCTAACTTACAAAGCATTTCTAAGCACTTATGGATTTTTAAAAGAATGTATACTGCATTTTACGGCCCACCGTTACTCTTATAAACTGCAATAATAAAAGTATATATAATACTTCAATTTAGCAGCTTTCTGTAAACATACTTTTATGAATAAGACATTTATTACATGTTCAGCATATCGTAGATCACAGGAGTTAATCTGTCACAAAATTTATTACATTTCTAAAGAAATTATCCTGATATAAATTAGATAATATATGAGCTAGGCATTTTCGTAACTTGTTAAGAATATATAGAAGAGTTTTCTGATGTAGTTTATCATTTGTATGACAATCACATTCATCAATTGTATATATGTATTTTTTATAGTTGTGATTTTTGTCACAATATTTATCCTTGTACAGATATGTAATTAGAATAATGCTTGGATACAAGTTTTGATTGCCGAGTGATAGTTGTTTAAGTATAAAAATAAAATACTTAGATTAAATGCATTTTGTTTTATTTAACTAAGCCTCTATTTTACATACTGTTTTCTTTCAAAGATGAAATCTCCCACAATTGTCATCTTTCTGCTTTGAGAATTCTCATAGACGACAAATCTGAAGAGTATCCGTTTTCCCTTCACAAAATTTGAAAGGGTAGCAAAATAACTAAAGTTGAGAATATCAGGAGTTAGCATCATTAAGTAGAAAAATCACATATGTTTTTCAATAATCTAGGTATCTTTTGCTATCATAAAGTTAACCGAAGCTAATGGTATTTATCTTTGCATTATTTATTTTTAATTTTTTGAAGGTAATTAACTTCTCCCCCTAATATTATTTTCCTTTATTATTATTGAAAGTTGAAGAATTAAAACTTGAGTGTTTTAATAATTTTATGTAATATAAAGTAATCGTAAAGGTAATAATAAAGTACTTTATATATTACCTTTTGCAACATTTTGTGATATATTTCGTTACTCCTACAATACAATTTTAACGGTAAATAAGTTACATATCTTCTGCTGAAATATTCAATAATGCTCTTCATCTACCAAACATGGTTTTTAGGGAATTATTCCAGATTTTGAAAAATTCTAATAATTTAGTTAATAGATGTTGTTAGTATCCCACTGTTTTCCAATATTTGGAAATCTAATAAACTCTTTTTGCCTCTAATGAGGCTGCCAAAACAGTGAGTTCTTTCTAAATCTAGCAACCATGTCACCTTTTTTTCAACAATGCATCTATAAATAACTAAAACAAATTTTCACCTCAAATATGAGCTCAGAAATTATCTGTTTGAAAATATCGCCTCGTAGAATAAGCTGTAGTAAGCCACTGTATTCTTTCTGACCGTAAGTAGAGAAGATCAAGAGTTCGAGGTTGTTTACATTTATATTGAAATGTCAAACAAAAGAAGCAAATGTAGATTTTTAAAAATTAAAAAACTCTAAAAAGAGTAATAAAGACAGTTCCCTATTTTGAATTGTTATGTGTTTTCATCAGCAAGTAAAATTGCTTCCATTTATTTCTTATTGAGACATACAATCAAGAATTCACGTCATCAGTTTGCTTGATATGAAGTGAATTTAAAACAACCTCAAAATAATATTAGGTATAAATAAAATGACTTCATACACCTCCATAAATACTTCACTCTCTTTAGTTGAAATAAAGTAAATATTTTTACGCCTCATAAATACCTCTTTTGTTACAAGTATCCGAAAAGCAACCTTGTAGACTTAAAAATTCACCTCATCAGTTTGGCTGATTTGATATGAAGTGAGTTTAAAACAACCTCAAAATAAGATAAGGTATAAATAAAATGTGACTTCATACCCCTCCATAAATACCTCACTATCTTTAGTTGAAATAAGGAAAAAAAATTTATACCTCGTAAATACCTCACTCTCTTTAGTTGAAAAAAGCAAAAAAATTTTATACCTCATAAATACCTCTTTTGTTACAAGTGCCAGGAAAACAATCTGGTATACCTTAGAAATCACCTCATCAGTCTATTGTTGACAAAAAATTAATTTAAAACAACCTCAAAATGAGCTTAGGTATAAATAAAATTACTTCATACATCTCAATAAATACCCCACTCTCTTTAGTTGATATAAGGTAAATTTTTTTATACCTCAGATATACCTTTTTTGTTATAAGTATCAGAAAAACAACCTGTATACCTTGAAAATCACCTCATCAGCCTAGTTGATTTGAAGTGAATTCTAAACAACCTCAAAATGAGCTGACGTGTATGCAGAGGCGTATCTAGAGAAAATGGCGCCTATGGCAATCCTCCCTATCGGCGCCCTTNGCTGACGTGTATGCGAAACAATTACATCCTTTACGAGGTATAATTTTTATGGTTGTTTTCTCAGCAACCTCAAATATACCTTAACTTTTCATGGGTACTCGAGCTTGGAGCTTTGCAGATTCCTTGAGAAAGGTTTGCTGGATTCCATTGGAGGAGGTTTACTGGAATCCCTTGGACGGGACTCTTTTGGACCTTCCCGTTGACGTTTGGGTTCATTTTTGGAGCTCACGAAGCGTTTGACTGGAGTGTCTCGAGCAATGTTCAATTTACGTTACAACCGGCTCCGACTGTCTTGACCATGGGAATTCTTTGGGGTTTGACTCGATGAAGAGCCACCATGACGATAGAGCGAGGCTAAGGTTTCACGGACACTGGAGATTTGGCAGGAGGTGATGTTGGAGAGATTGGTTCAAGCAATTGCTCCGTGAGCGACCGGGTCAGTGGAGAAATAGGTTGCGGCAGAGTGTACACATGATGTTTGGAGATGGAGACGGAGGAGCAGCAATGTCCATGTCAGTCAATTCTCATTCTTCATCAGAGGAGGAAGAGTTTTCAAAATCCAATAATTCAGACATGCCTGTAATGCTTCTCAAAAACTGGATGCTCTGACTTTGAATAGCAGCTCTTTATATACCGCTTGGGCTGGATATTACGTCATTCTGTCGTCATAAACTGGTTCTTTCGGAGATATACCATAATTTCTTTATTTTTATTGTTTTTGTTAATGTACGTCGCACTAGAGATGCACAATGGGCTATTGGCTACGGTCTGGGAAACATCTCGGAGGATGATCCGAAGACATGCCATCACAACTTTGATCCTCTGCGGAGGGGATGGCACCCCCGCTTCGGTAGCCCAACGACCTGCGCGCGAAGTCGAGCACTTTACGGTAGCACAGTTTAACGAGGACCAATACCGCACACCCTCGGTCCCTACGCAGACTGACCACCCACCCGCACACTGACCGTAGCCAGAGATGCTTGACTTCGGTGATCTGCTGGGAACCGTGTTTTAACGATCAGTCCACTGCGGGACATTTCTTTATTAATATTTGAGTATAAAAAGTTAATTAATCATTAAAGTTGCGTGTAATATTTGCGTTTGAAAAATGACAAAAAAGAGTTTTTCGATAAAAAGATAATTGAAAGCTTGAAAATGGACCTTGTTGATTGTTTTAATTCTTCAATTTAATAAATTTTCCCAGGAAAATTACAAAAACATGTCATTTGATAAACTGAAAGTTTGAAAATTTGCATCCTACGTGTTGACTGGTAGTATTACAATTTTTCAGTTGCATTTATTTTTTAAATAATGGATTGTTATTTTCTGAACCCCCATGGAAAAATGTCTTTTCAAGTTTGTGAAAATTACAAAGCAAAATGAATCACTCGAGTTGGCACAGATGTGATGGGTAACAGCATGTGCGCGGTTCATTCATTTTTAGTCATTCATGTTTTGCGTTTGTGAGCTTTTTTTNAAGGGGTCATGGTGCTTAGATATTTTTTCTAGTGACTGTAGTTGACATTAGTGATCGCCAACGAGAGCATCTTATGCAAAAGATCTTACTACTCTTACTCTTTCAAAATTTCTCAGTGTGAGTTCAGTATCTGGCTCTGTTGACGCACCTGTAAGAATTTGCTCGACTATTTTTAAATGCAGTAAGAATATCCATTAAAAAATTTGCCATGAATACTTTTCGGCTACCGCAGTTCACTACAATTTTTTCTGAAGTGAAGAGTAACAAATATTAACTGTGACCGTAGCAATTTTTGTTTATCCGATTTTTTTCTTATATTTTTTTGACAATCTTGTAAATAAATCGGTGAAATCAGGAAAGCTTTTCAAGTTCAGAGAGAATTATTGTATCTAGTCTTTATAGTTGTAAGTATATTTATTTCAATTGTTTAGTTTTGTAGTGTATTACTGAATGTGATTTTAAACGATATTTTTTTAAGTAAATTTGCAAATGACAGTTTATAACTTGAATTCTATATGCGGAATGTCCCCTGCACTCTTTCATTTGATTTCTTTATCTTTGTAAGTTTAACGGTTTTACTTCGTAAATACGCAAGAATCATTTGTATTCAAGAATCTCAAGTTACATTTTCAAAATTATTTATTTTATGATTATAAGACAAATGATGAAAATTTAAATCAGGTCAGTTAGCTAGATCTGCAAGAAAGATATTACATTATCAGTTTGAATTTAATATCGCAACTAATTTATTATTGGTAACTTATCTTTTGAATCTGCCTTTAATTCAGTGAGAAATCACATCCAAATTTAAGGCAGACTCGTCAAAAAGCTGTATATTTATTTACTCGAGATTTTGATATTACGTCAAGTATAATATTAGGCATTTGTTTCAATTTTAAATCCTTTTAAAATGACATGAAATCGGTTTATTATTTTTATTTTGAATATTTTGTTTATGAATGACTTTTTTTTAAAAATATTGTTTTGCTGTCCAAATTTTGAATTGCTGTCCAAAGTACTGAAATTTTGAAAATAGAAAAAATTCGTAAATTCTGATTACGCATATTAGTAATAGATGATATATTCCCTACATATTAGAGCAATGATAATTAATATTTAAAATACGAAGATAAAGTTAAAACTAATTTTAAATCAGAGTAGGGGCATTAATTTTGTGTAGTATAGGTTGAAATAAATTAAGCACTATTATTTTGTTAAATTTTTTTTTTAAGATTTTGTTCTTTTAATCATAATTTTTATTTTTACAAATTACTAAGCTATTACACAATTATGAAATATCTTGATTACATTAGCATTTTTTTATTTTTTATAAATGGTTAATTTCTACCATTTTATTATAATTATTTTTTCTTGGATCCTAATTTTTATTCTGCTTTGAAAAATAAATTTTTCATGCTAATTATGTGCTAACCACACGTTTTAGTTCATGTGTATTTTGTTCCTAACTTTTTCATACTTTGCTTAACATATTAAAGCCTGTTATTTTTGTCTACTTCTTGTACCAGACCTATTCCTAAGCTAAAGGTATCATGCCAAAGTTGGTGTTATCCTTTTAGTAGTAATCATAACTATTTATTTTAACTTTTATAAGATAACCTTAATAAAATTGGTACTTAAGGTATACATAAGGTCATCTATGGTCATACATAAGGTATCTATTACCACTTACTTATAGGTATACTTATTTCAATTTATTATTATCTATTAACACTTTAACAGTAGTTCAGTATGGATGGTGTTTTCAATATAAATGTAAACAACGTCAATCTTGAGCTCTTGATCTGCTCTACTTCCGGTTAGAAAGTACGCAGCTGCATGTTACAGCTTATTCTGCATTGCGATATTTTCAAACAGATAATTTAGTTTTTAATAAAAGAAGTAACTTATATAATTTCTTTTCTCAAATCTGCTTTTTTTACAAATACATCTATATAAGAAATACTACTCAAAAGAGTCTCAAATCACGATAATCACGTTTTGAGCCAAATGGCTTCTTAACACACCAAAAGCAGTAACGCGGAATTATATGGCCACAAAGAACTTGCTGCGCTCCCTAGTGTAGAAAACTCCGTCCATTAACAAAACACCACAATTGATTAAAAAGTACTTTAAGTATTCATTAAATTAATTAAGTATTAATTAAAAGTACACAATTAATTAAAAGTACACAATTAATTAAAAGTACACATTTAATTAAAAGTATATTTTTTACAGCCTCCATAAGAAATAAGTATTTTTTTGTAATGGAGTACATTTTTATTATTTTAGATGAATAGCTGAGATGAATGGTTTTAGTACTGAAGAGGAAACACCAAGCAGCCATAACCAAATTTGTTGCCTCTTAGATGAAGGGGACAGATGTACTCAGCCTGCTGGAAATGCAAGTTATAATAAAAGAATACAAAAAACTGTTGCACAGAAGAAGTTGAAATTAAGCATTGATCCAAATGTAAGACAGGCTGTGAACCCTTGGTTTGGACACTAAAAATCTTAACAGAATTAGTATTATAATAATATATTTAGAAATTAAATTGGCTTGTACTTAGTAAAAATATTCTTGCATTCACATAGTGGTAAAGTTTGAAATTTTCTCTTTCAAAATTGAAGTTTTACAATATTTTTTTCATAACTTAGTGTAAAAATATTATTAATTATGTTCAAGTAAATATTTTTTTATGTAATAATTGATGTTTATATTTGTATTCATAGCTTTTTAATGATTGCTTTTTCCATTTGTTAAGTTTTTTGTTTCTTTTTTTAAATTAGCCTTAAAGATTTTAATGTGCATAATGCCCAAGTTGCTGTTTTGAGTTATAAAGGAAAAGCTTGTGTCTTGGGAGATAATTTTAAAATATTCAGATAAAGAAATATTAGTTATACCATATGATAGGATTGTTTCAGATATTATCTACTTATTTATTTTCTGAAAAACATTTAGTTGATATTTAACTCTTAGAGGATGTTTATTTACAAAACAGCTGTTCTGTTATCAAATTAAATTTTTCTATATAATATTTACTAAAAAAATTGCTCTTAGACACTTCTATAACATTTGGGAAAAAAATTTTAAAAATTATTTAATACTTTATGTTATACATTTTCTTACTAGGAAATTTTTTATATTAAATTAGTTAATCATTTATTAAATTTTCTTTGATTTTGATTGTTTTTTTATTATGAAATGAAGCTAAATGAATTATAATTATATTATTAATTATGTATTTTAATCTCAAAGTAAAATTTTTCAACTTCTAAGTACTTTTGATAAAACTTGAAGTGTTTTCATAAACATTAAATTAAAAAACGGTTTAAATGTAAAAGTTTTAATTTGTTAACATTTAAAATTGACTTAGGTACATATAAAAAACTGTGAGAATTTATTACTATAAGCATAAGAATGTCGACACTAATTGTTGCATTTATTTAAACTGTGTAACTAGCAACCTGGTTATATTTTAAAACTTTTTAACTTTTATTCGATGCAACCAAGCTCTAATTATTATTATTTTTTCCCGTTTACTTTCAGGCTCGTCATATCTACATTTGTGAATACCATAAGAATGTCATCCAAAGTATTAGAAATAAACGGAAATCTATTAAAACTGAGGATGATGGTGCAATGAATGACCAAGATATGGACATACCAGAAGTAAGAAATGTGCTTATTTCTAAAAAAAAAAACTAATAAGATTTTGTGTTTTTTTATTTTATTATATCTTTAGAATTGTAAAATGTATAAAAAAAAACTTAATTGAGCATCAGATGCTACTTAAGCTTGTTGTTAAGTTTATTTTTTTAGGTTAATTGCAGTGGTTTAAAATTAAAACATTCATCATGAGGTTTTCAGTAGCCTCAGTGCTTTAATTTTTTATGGAACTCAGTTTTTTTGTGTGAACTGCTTAAACGAATTTATTTTTTTGTGTTATAAATTATTTATGATCTGATCCAGCTTTTTAAATAATTTTAGCATTATAACGTAACTTTTAGTTCATTTGTAAAATTTTCTACTTAAAATAATTTCTTAGCAAGAAATCTAACTTTTTTTTCTTCAAAAAATTAATTGTTTTCAATAGCTTAAATAATTTAATTAAAAAGCCAAGTGTAGCTGTCATCAGTTTTTATAAGGAATTTATTTGTTAAAATTTATAGTTGTTTAACATAATTTATTTTTACATATAATCAATTTTTCAGTTAAGAATAATTTTTAAAGCAACAAAAAAGAATACTTAACATAATTTTAAGATTCTATTGGTTTAAAGATATCTTGATGATGCCTTCATATTGAGCTGATTAGGAAATTTTTTGTTTCTTTTCTTCTTGATAAATTTTGGTTGTATACCTATACCTGCACAGGTATGGGTAACAGTAGTAACATGCATATGTTATTGCTCTCTAACTACATTGAATACAAAAAATGTTAAAACTAATATGGAACCTATACTTATTCTGAAATTAACCATTATTGTCTTTGAAAATCTACCTGAGAAACTCCAAAATAACTATCTTCCTAATTAAATATAAAAGATGCATAATTTATAATATGAACTTTACTGATGTATCTTTTTAATGAAAAGGAAATCAAGAATCAAATAAGAAATTGATAATCACCGAAGAAATTTTATTAACTGTCAACTTTCTGAAAATTTAAAGTTTTAAACAGTGAATTTAATTGTGAGCCATGTAGGTATTGCTAATTAGCAATACCTACATGAAATGTATGAAAAAAAATAGTTTGATGTAAATAAAAAATTCTTTTCATGAAATTCCATATTTTTGAAAAGCAATGTATTGTTTATTATGAAATGTTTTATTTTGGTTAGATTTAGTCATCAAATATCAGTATAAACTAATATGCACCATACCTTATTTTCTTTTTTAACTGATATCAACTCTGTTTTTTTTTTTTTAAATGAAAGATTTTTTAATTTTTTTAAAAAATTCTCATTAATATGTGGATATAGTTTTTCACCCATAAAGAATTTTTAATTTGGTTTCAATAAAAGAATGCTCTAATATGTCGAATTTTACAAGCTATCTTTCTCTAAATTAGTAAGAATTCTATTGAATTTTTCTTTTAAAGGAATTTCAAAAAAGTTTCCTCTTCAATGAAATAAACATCATGTTTAACATTTATGTTGTAATTTTGTCAATTAAATGGAGAACTGTTTCAATGATATTTTAAACTAATTTCAAATAACTTGTACTGTGATAATTTAAAAATAATAAAATTTTGTTTCCATTATTACCAATGAAGGTTGATTTATATCAATTGCAAGTGAGTGCTCTTAGAAGATATAAAAGACATTATAAAATTCAAACTCGACAAGGAGTTAATAAAGCTCAGCTTGCAGAGGTAAGTTTTTATAGATTTTAATATTTTTATTGTATTATCTTTTATTTCAAATTCAAAATACTTTACTTATTTAAAGGTAAAGAAATATTTGAAACTACAATGTAATTAAAATAGGAAACATGGTATGGAAGTAGAAATTATCAATTTGGTTTAAAACATCATTTTGAAAATTCCATCTTTTTTTGAAAAATTCCATCTTTTCATATTTTATAGGAACATGGAAAATTATAAGTATATTAGTAGCGTTACATCAGTTTTGGAAAATAATTTACTAAAAATTAATTAATTGATAAAATTTAAAAAAAATAATAAATTTGTTCATGTTTAAAGTAGTTCATGTTGTCATTTCAGAAATTTTTTTAATAAAAATTATACAATATACACATACATTTTCTATTATCTATATCTGTTATCTATTTGCATTTTCTAATCTTAAATTTTTATTATGAATATGTAAATTTGTAACTTCTAAATATCTCATAATAAAAACAACCGATTAATTTAAAAAATAAAATAAAGTAATACAGAAAGAAATTTTTTAGTTTAGACGTTATTCAAAAAAGTATTCTTACTTTCGTTGTTCTATTTTTTATTATTTTTTAAATTCTGCGGATGATTGACCGTGTAAAGCTAGGCACAGATGGCGCTAGGAGGTAAAATTCATCTCAAGACTTCAGGGTTACTACTTCTGATTGATTTTTACACCTAAACTTTAAAAGGCATGCCATCTACTTTTATTATACTAATAATGTTTACAATATAATACATTCTTTCTATTTAAATTTCAACGAAAAAAACAGCAAATGAATTCGGAAGACTTCGCAAGCATGCAACCCAAAAATTATCAATCGGGGATATTCTACACAAATATATCCTAATAAAGAATAACACTCAAAACATGGGAAATTTTACACTTTATTTTTGTTTTGATATTAACTTTCGTAAATTTACTTTAGGATCTCAACCAGTTAGAATTTGTAAATTACGAGAAACTCTTATGAATTGTAAAATTATATGTAAATTTAATCACAAATTGTAATTATAAAACAAATATTAAGCCTGTTCTTACATGGCCTCGTAAGTATACATCGGATGTTTTCTATATTTCTTCCGTTTTTAGAAAGCTTGTTATTGCTTACATTCAGTCAACCATTCGTTTAAGCAAACAAAAAATTGCTGAAGAGTAACTAACTAATGGGAAAAAACTGAGTTAGTGAACAAATAAGAGAAAATTCCTAACAAAATAATTGGTAATAGTTCACTGTTTTGGTTTCTTATTTTCATTTTCATTACAAAAGAATAAACAGTTTTAAGTTCTTTAAAAAGCATTCATCAGAGAAAAGTCAACAAAAGTATTTGCTTGTAAAATTTAGCAGCACACTTCTTCAACTGTTGAAATGCAAATAATATCAATTTCTTAGAACAACCTAAGAGAGTATTGAAGAAATAACTACCCATATTGAAAAAGTATGAAAATGGGTGATCTTTTCTCAGGAAAATACGCTTTTTTACATTCACACCCATGGGGTGAAGGAAAACTCCATTCAAATTAGGGTACAAAAGGGTTTATGTTATTTCTAGTAATGCCCCTCCCTCCCACTCAACATATTCAATTCTTTCATTTGACTGCTGTAATGTTGCAATTATCAACACTATAGCAAAACAAAAATCTGCGTTTTTTAATTTGTTCCGGTTTTTTGCAAAGTACTTCTTTTTCCACAAATTATATGTTCCTGTATTATAAAATCTCATTTTAAACCTTTGCCTATTAAAATTTAATATGTGTTACGTTTTTACTCAAAACATAAGTTTGATGGCTTGCTAAATTAAAAAAAAAAAATGTTATAAAGATGTATTGTCATGTATAGCAAAAGATGTTATTTGGCATGTTGTTGAAATTTTCTTTTAAAACTTTGATAAAGTGGGAAACCCAAGTGGAAGTCCTGTTTATGCCTTATTGCTAGATAAATTTTGTTATAAAAAATATTCAAAATTGATTTTTGTTTCTTTTTCAGACTCTTTCACGCCATTTCAAAACTATTCCTGTGATGGAAAAAGAAGCAATTACTTATTTTATTTACATGGTAAAGACTAATAAAAATAAACTGGATCAGAAAAATGGAGAATCTTCAGGAATTTAGTAGTCTCCCATCTATCAGGAACAGCATTTAAAGTTTGTCATTTTCATCAATGTTCTTCAACCTATTGTTTTTCTTTCCAGTTTATATTTATTTCACCTAACTCTGTTCACAAAATAAATCTTCCATCCATGAAGTTTAATCATTGTATTTAAAAAACGCATTTGCATTTTTTCGATTTCAGGTATTCAATGGTTTAATGAAATTTATTGTGCAAGGATGAACCTATGTTATATTTAATAATGTGTGCTCTCGTTAATTAGAATTATAAGTGAAGCACATACAATGAGAAATATATTTTGAATTAATAGTCAAAATTATACATTTTAGTTTACAGTGTGATAAAATATTTGTTTATTTTTACTATTTAGTAAAATCATAAGAAACATACAGATTTTCTTCAAATAATGGCAAATTGAACATGTAACAAAGACATAGAGTTAATTGGTAAAGACTGTATCAATAGAGTAAATTAAGTAAATATTCAGTCATAAATTTGATTTTAAGAATGTTTATTTTTTCTTTGTAGATAATTCTGGAATGTATTAGCATTAAATAGTTTTTGAAAACTGCAAAATTTTATTTCTGGACAAAAGATTTTATGTAATTATTTTTCACATATTTTTTTTAAAATAAATTCTTAAATATATTAACTCATAATTTTACAAATTTTTATTTTGCTATTAAAGTGCAAAGAAAAAATATATACTGTTCCAAGAAAGTAACAATGTAAATAAGTTACTACTATTATTATTTATCAAATATTGATTTTTAAGCTAACTAATGCAGGTTCTTGTGCCAATTCCTACCATTCTTTAAAAATTGCAATTCAAATAAATGCATGAATTAACATACTAAAGAATATCAATGAGTTCTATACTCAAGGATAAAAATATATTGGTAAGAAATTCTTATATATATTTTTTTTAATATTAAATTTGATGTTTATTATGAAATTGCCCTCAACTGTGTAAAAATCTAATCATTACATCATAAGTTATCTAGAGGGATTAGTTCTTCATAATATATTCTTGTACGTAGTGTTTTTAAAATATTGCAAGATAAAGTTTATTATGACAATGGGAACAAAAAGCTTATAGTGACATTAAAATTTTACAATGGTATAAGTTTTAACGACAGATATATAAAACTGACCCTACATATAAATTTGTAAACGGACATATTTTTTAATTAAAGTCATGTATAATTTTTTTTTAAATTAAAAATCTCCCCATATAGCTTTGATTGATGTCTGGGGGAAAAAAACCTTTCTTTTTTTTGACTGTTGACAGTCTACCCTACTTAAAAATGGCTATGATTTATATATGGTTTTGTACTCACAAATGCTAGTATTTAACTTAATGTTATAAATATGGTTTTTATATTAGGTTTGCTCACAGCATTTTGATCATCAAATGTTTAGGTGCATATTTGTCAAAAGATAAATAAAAAATTTTAGCAAAAAACAACAACTATTAGAACTGAATAGGTTTAAATATTAATGACATTAATGTACAAAAATGCACTGTGAAATTACATATATATTACAGTGAAAAACTGTGCTGTATGACTTGTTATGACTTAAAATATTGTATTATGTTGAAATTTTTTTATCTTAGGTCTTGTGTGAGAACAATTGTCTTTTTTTAATTTTTTGATTAGGCACTGAACTTGTCTGATCTAGAAAATCATGTCTATAAAAATTCAATGACAAAATTTTCTTGCTCTTTTCCTGCTAGCAAATTTGTCTATGCTTACAGTAATTATATATAGTGCGACTTTCAGGAGAACTCCTCCAGGCATCAGTCTCGCGTCGTGGCAAGTACCGTGGTTATGAGGAAAAGTCACTTCAAATAGGGGTGTGGTGTGAATAGTTTTGTCTTGATCTTGGCATTAGTCAGTGTGAGTAAACTAATCAACACCTTCATTCCTCCATTAGAAATGTGCTCTCGCTTGTTACCATGGCAACAGGCATCCCCAGATTTTTTGAGGAGTTCTCCTCAAGGCCGCATTGTATTTCACTCTTGAAATATTTTTTTTTATCATGTTTACAAACTTGAAATGAATTAGTTCATAATATAATATTTGTTTGTGTTGATCTTGTATTTAGAAGCAAACAATGTTTGATTATCAATTTAGTTACCAAGATAGACTATCATTGTTTAATCATATTGTGTAACATTTCTTATTACTTTAAGCAAAACATTGTTTAAAATTCTGATTACTTTACATTCAACTGTTTCAAAATGACAGATATTGTGTCATTTTGAAATCCTGTTTGTCGAACACTCTTTGATGCTTGTGAAGCGACTAGTTCTAGGATGAGTATTTTTTTACTCTTGATATCGTCAAAAATAAATAAATCAAAATGATCTGAATAAAGAAATATTTATTTTGTGTAAAGCAACATTTGATGCCTCCCATCATATGTTATGAACATGAAATATTCATAACATTAAATGAAATGTTATGAATGAATGTCACATTAAATGGTGTCTCATTCAAGTAATTAAATTAAAATTCTTTATGTCACTTTTCTTGCATCAATCATTAAGTACCACTGCAATTTTATTAAAATACAAGATATTAATGTGAAAATGTTTAAAATTTATTTAAATAATTGTATGTTATAACAGTTTCTTTTAAATAGGGGTGCACAACCTCTTATAGAAGAAAACCACAAAATTTTTTGGGCTCTCTGGGATTGCAAGGAATTTAGTATTTTAGCAACTAATCTAAGTTATTACCTTAATATGGTTTGTCTTAAGGAATACAAGGCAGCACGTAACAAATTATATTTAATTTTTGAAAAGTATAATATTTTTTTAAGTTAAAATTTTATAAATGTGAAGGGGTTTGCACTTTTTCTTTTATTTTTAATAAAAAATCAGTTAAGTTGCAGGAAGATTTCACCTTTCTTTGTAAAAAATTAATCTTATTATTTTTTAATTGTTTATAAATTTTTTATATCTTTAATTTTTAATAAGTTCTTAAATTACAGTTATTTTGAGTGTTTTTCAAATCTCGCCCCATCTAATTTCTTCTTTTTCGAACTAAATTCTGGTGGTGAAGTGAGAACATGAATCATTAAGGTTAGATACCTGGCTGTCATTACTGTAGCTCTTGTATGTGCTAACTACAGGGAAAAAAAATAATTTTAATTTTTTGAAGAAAATGTTCCCTATAAAAATTGAAAGATTTTTAAACCTTTTGACATCTTGAATTGTTTCCCCTACATTCTGTAGTTTTAATGCTATAATTATTATTATAGTTAACTACTTTAAGATCATAACTCTTAATATTATAACATGTGTCTTCAGTTTCTTGAAAATAGTTTGATAAAAAAGCAAGAAAGTTTAAAAGAAGCTTCTAATTATGTTGTATTTCATTTAAATTTCGAATTAAAGGGATCAACAGTCTTGATAGCATGTTGTGCACCCCTACTTTTTAACAGACTTTTGTAAGAATAGGGCATTCCAAAAACGACTGAGTAATTAAATATCATAATCTAACTGAAGTATTAAGTAATGGTCATTTTTACCTTCAGCTTTTGAAATTAATATCATCAAAGTAGCTGGTGTAAATTGACTGTCATAAAATTTAGTTATATTGCTCCCTTTTTCATATGAGCTGGGTTTTTTTTTTTTTTTTTTTTTTGGGTATNTTTTTTTTTTTTTTTGGATTGCCTAATAACATGCATTTTAGTTTTTAATAAAAGTCATAGTAGAAACTTTAATTGCATGCTTTAATAATTATTTTTTAAGAGCTTTTATGATGCTTTGCATAGGAAAGAAAGGCAACTCTTTAAATTTTCTAAGACATCTGAATTGAAATTCACAAATACTTTTCTTTTAGGTGTAATTTTGAAAAATTTTATAGTTGATGATTCAGCTTTAATTTGCTTAATTTAGTTTCATGAAATTTTAAAATTGTATTTTTTTATAAGCTAATGTTTTGAATTTTATCCTTTATCTCAGTATTTATGTTAAAAATATCAAATGCAAATGTAAGAAACTTATTCTATTTTATATATATCTACATAAATTAAAGCAGAAAAACTAAGAATTTTAAGTGTATATTAATTTCATTAGTTTTCTGCTAATTTATTTTGCTCCAAAAATTTTCGCTTATTTAAGCCTCTGCATTTGGTATTTCATCACCATTGCAAATCATTCATTAATCACTGTTGTATCTCAATATTTAATAACCAACCATTTCATTTCACGATTACCAGTCATTGTGTGGAAATTAAACATAAATTATGTTAAGTCTTTTAAATTTTTTAGTATTTATTCTTGTTTAATTTGCAGCTATTTAAAGTTCTAAGATCGCTTAATATTGACTTGCTATTATTTTTCTCCTTTCATTTGTAAATATTTATGAAGAAATTTTAGTTGTATTAAAATATTCAATACATTCTCTTTATTGATAAATAAAAGAAGTGTTTCATATATTTTATTTCTTGAATGCATGTTTTTAAAATTTATTAATTATAAATTAATAAAATTATTAATTTATAAATTAATTAATAATTTTATTAATTAATATATTATTTCTTTTATTTAATTGTTACCTCACAAATGTTTTGTTATGTGTGTATTGAACTAATTTTAAACTATTGTCACTATTACAACTTATGAAACTGTGCTGATTTTGTAAAACTACATTATTAAATTACTTTCATAAAATTATTGTCTATGTCTTATTTTTTATTATTAAAGCTAAATTTTCTGAAACAGGATAACTTATCCTTTTTTAGTGTTTCAATTTACCTTTAGTAATTGATCATTCTTTATTAAAAAACAACAACACTAGATTCGGTTTGTAGTTAAATTTATTTTTTATGTTTCTGCTTGATGGGTTGCATTACTCAGTATCAATCAGTATTCGATATCCGAATAAATAAATTATATCTGTATATCGAGTGAAAGATGATTCAGTATCAATACACATCCACAGAAGGGATTTAGATCGATAGGTTCTGAAGTCTTTCTTTTACCTATAAGAGCTTTATCCACTCCTAGAAGTTTAATTTGAAATTATTTGTTGTTATTATACAGTGTTTTAGTTAGTTACGTTTGTGTTGTGTGTTTTTACTTCTCAAATGTTGATCTTAAAGAAAATTGCGATTGCTGTCTGTCCTAATAAAAATTATTAATTAAAAACTTATTATTTTTATTTATAAGAATTTTTTTGTCAATTATTTTGCTGATTTTCGGATTATATATTAATATTCTGTTATTTTATTAGCATTCAAATTCATCTGTTCATTTTTTTATTTCCTCATTCCAGCCATTTACTATTTATTCACTCTACATTACTAACAATATTAGATATTGTTAGGTAAATTATATGACAGATGTCGTAATCACGACTGACTTACAAATCATTCATTGCTGAATAACCTTATGCATATTATTCATTAATAAAAAATGACGTATTATTCATTAATGTCGATGACGTATTGTTCATTCTCTAATGCCATAGAGAATGAAGTATTATTCATTAATGAAAATATTAAACGTGTCTTGATGCAATTCATGATTTCTCCGAAGAGAACAATCTATGGATGGTTGGCCGTGTAAAGCCAAGTACAGGTGGCTCTCCGATTTATTTTAACGCTTAAACTTGAAAACACATTGTCAGTCAATATTAATATGTTGTAGTGTTTACAATATAACGCGTTCTTTCATTTTAACTTTAGCTTAATCCGTTTAATTTTAGCAGAAAACGAATTAGGACCACAAATATGCTACGATGCTACCCAAATAATAGCGAACAACGATATTTTACACTAATATATCCAAATTTCACGCTTTATTTATGTTGTGATATTAGTTTTCCTAAATTTTTTTTAAGGCTTGCCACATTTAAAAATTTATAAATTACATATATCTCTTAAGAATGGTAAAAATTACTCGTTAATTTAAACACAGATTAGAATAATGAAATTTCCTAGAACATCAAGCCTGTTAATGCATCGGCTCTTAAACGTAACATAAGCGGAACGATACACCGGAAGTTTTCCATGTTTCTTCCGATTTTAGGAAGCTTGTTATTGTTTTTATTCAGTCGTTCATTGTTAAAAAAAAAAAAAAACATTACCACCATCTTTAAAATTTTTAGTTTTATATATTATGGAAGCAGCAAATTAAATTCGTGTTATTGTTTACAATTGGTTTATTGAAGATTATCCTGCTTTATTAAATGATGAAGTTCAAAAGTTAAGATAAAAATCGGATGTGTAAATGCGTGGCATTTTCTCAGTGGAATACTTTGCTATTTTAAACGAGAAAAGAAGAAATTTTTAATAATCTAATGAAAAATGCTGCTAGAGGTACTATTTAAGTTTTTTTTTTAATTGATAATTTTTTAAATATTGATAATATGTAGGCAAGTATTACGAAACACCTAGATATTTTACTTATTTTGAACAGGTATTTTTAACTTTTATTTTTGTATCAGCGATTTTTTTCTCTCCAAAATAGCGGTTCCAACCCAATAGTGAACTGATGGTTTATTATTAATTTTATTTAAGTAACATGCATATTTGTTTTTAATTCTCATAAATTATTTTCCATCTAGTTTTGTTTTTGAAGTACAATATTTATTTACAAAAAGAATGTTGTGCACATAACTTCCTAGATAAAAAGTAAACTTAGATTATAGAACAGTTTTCTTNGGTATTTTACTTATTTTGAACAGGTATTTTTAACTTCCTTTTTTGTATCATAGCGATTTTTTTCTCTCCAAAATAGCAGTTCCAACCCAATAGTGAACTGATGGTTTATTATTAATTTTATTTAAATAACATGCATGTTTGTTTTTAATTCTCATAAATTATTTTCCATCTAGTTTTGTTTTTGAAGTACAATATTTATTTACAAAAAGAATGTTGTGCACATAACTTCCTAGATAAAAAGTAAACTTAGATTATAGAACAGTTTTCTTTATTCAAAAAATGAATTTACATTCTTATGAATATTATTGGTGATATACATCAGTAATAATAATGGTCCTGCAGAGTTAGTTCTAAGTCTGCTTTTCGATCAAATGGTAGCTGATAAATGGTTTTCTTTATTCAAATAAAAAGAGAAAATAGCATAATTTTTTTTCAAAACTGAGAAAATAATTGTTTTGTTTTTTTCATGCATAAATACAAATTTAATAGGCAATCAAATTTTTAACGCATCGTTTTGAATTGCATTTCTCATCTATAACGGTGCTTTTTTAATACATCTTTAATTAACGAATAAAATGACTAATGGAATATTTTTTCTAAAAATAAGCTTCTTAGGCATATTTCAAGTATGTTATAATAATCGGTGCTACCTTTGGATTAAATTACGACATTAAATTAAAATATTTATGAATGAATAGCCATATCCTTTTTTTCAAAAAATTTTTTTTTTTTGAACTCCAAAATATGGTCCTAATACTTCAATAAAAATAGCAAACAAAGGTTTTGATAATTATGCTTGCCACTTTTACATTTTGCGATTTTCACCGTAATTTGGAAACTAATAATTTCATTCAAATATTTTTCATCCTTTAAAACTGAATTACCTGAGGAATATTTCATAAAAAAAATTTTAAAAAAAATGCTGGGTTCACTAAAATGGAAAGTGGACGAGCGTGATTGAGTTAGAAATATAGTAACGATATTGGCTACCTTTCGTGGTTATGAATGACAGTAAAAGAGTATAACTAATTAACAACTTCGCATGTGAGCATTTAAAGTGAAAATAAAGTCATGCTAAGAAGGATGCTTCCAGAACAGAGCAATGTGCGCTGATATGCTTTTTAGTGACGGGATATGATGGTTACAGGTTTGTCAAATTTGTTGTCAAATGTTATATTCATGGTGAACATTGTTTGGGACAAATGTGGAAATGAATTAGCCTAAATCAATTTTACATCAGCTAAGTCTCATAGCAAGTAGATGTCATTATTTCCTCTACATTCATATCTGCTGTTGATGAAATGATTAGAGGTAATCGAAGATTTACGATTGGTAACACCTGTGTTGCACTTTGATATAAATAAAGGAAGTGTGCAATCACCTTCTTTTCAAATTCGTATTATTTAACTTCGACGAGTTGGAGGGAAAGCTTAGTGGATTTCCTTTTATGGGCGGGGAAAGTTAAAACGCATGAAATATGAGAGCAAGTGAATTGGTGAAACAATTATGTAAAAAGTAGAATCAGTAGAAAAATCTTCATTTGGAAAAAAACACTATTCAGTGGGAAGGGACGACGATGAAATGTTAAATAGGCTGTCTATATTTGCTTTCCCTCGATTCTCCGTTTCTTTCACTTCGACTTTCTTCTTCCTCTGAATCGCTAGAACAAACTCTACGGGTGCGCTTGAGTCTCACTTTGTACACGCCAACTCGTGATGGGAGATCTATAACTTCTCTTTCCTGATTCACCTTCTTAGTACGATTTTATATGCTCTCACGTGAACTGATTAATCTGTTACACACAAACCGAGATGCTCTTAAGTTACTTTATAACGTGGAATGGTGGTGGTTTTATGGTTTCAGTATTTCTGATGCTTTGTCCACTTTTTGTTTGAACAACCCTTTTATAGAGATTATCATATGCATGTTATATCGAACGAATTGTAACTGTAACCAAGAACATTTTTTTGAAAAAGACTTTTCTTACAGAGAGTCAAAGCCTAAAAGTAAGCAGAAAGTGTTTTTCATTTCACCATCACTAGAAATGAAAACGTTTTAAAAGATGTATGTTTACATTCTTTAGGCATCGTGGTGGTTAAAATAGCTTTGAATTAGACTTATCAAACTATGAATCAAATATTAAAACAAATATCCAGTTACCATAGGAAAAGAAAAAAAAATAGTGTGACAACTGTGCTTTAACTCTCTGATTCTTGACCTCCTAACTCAGTCTGGAGTATATTTTCACGCAAAACAACCGAATTTTTATACTATTCAATGGAGAAATACTGTTTTGTACAATTTTACTCAAGTAACTGACAACGTATTTTGTAACCACCCAGGGTGGTACTGTTATTGTACCGCAATTCATATCCTGCATTCTTTTCTTTTTTTCAAGACAAGATTTCTTACGCCAAATAATCTAATAGAATTTATAAAAATTAACACTAAATAGAAAAATCGGCATAGCAACCATTTTTCTATGAACAAGGTAATGACCTGTATTTTTAGTGTTATTACCACTTATATTGGTAAAAACACCCACCTGAAAGATAAGCAGTGACTTTTGCTTATGTTATTAGCAGTTCCATTATTAGAGTCACTGCAATGATATTGTGACAGAATAATCTTTTGAAAAGTGCACAAAAAGATTTCGTAAAATAAAATCATTTTTTTCCGTTGTCCTGAGTTTCAATTCTGTTCCCTTTGTGGACGTCTCTCAATTTGTGCATCTCTCCATTTCGCAGTTTGTGATGATTGTTGTGCTGACTGTCGTTAATGGACGAAACAGTTGTTGACCACCTTCTCGTATTCATGCTGTTTTTTCTTTGACGGAATTCATTGGTCAGTTTGTATCTAGCGTAAGTGCGCTTTATCAAAATTATAACCTGAAAAAAAAATTAAGAAGATAACTTTACTTGAATGAAACTTTAAAATACGCCAAAACGCTAATATTGCTACCACTAAGAAAATAATTTCTCAATAGCCGTACAAGTTATGCACATATATTTACGCGATATATTAGTAACACAAATCTTCTAATTTGGATCTATAAATCATGGAATAATTTATCTGTCCAAAATTAGGTGGTTACAATTATATGAACTTACCCACTTAATTTAAATAATGTACAATCAGTCCTTTTATTATAGAACTTATCACATGTCACTGCAATATTAAAATTTCGGGCATTAATAGGTTAACGAAATAATAATACTTAAGATACACTATATGCCAAGTTTCATCCCAAATTGAATTCCTCAAGTCGTGTCAGTTTCTTGCAAGGCAAATCTGAATAATTAAATCGAGTTACTACTACTATTATTTTTTAATTTATTTAAAATGTGAACCGTAGAATTGACTTTAAAACTATATTAATATCCCTTCCTATACAGTTGGATGAAAGTTAAAAAAATTTCTAAAATAGTTCCGATAACTCCAAGGTTTTATAAATATTTTTGTTCGTGTCATTTTTTTTATCTAGTGGTAGATTAAAACATTATATTTCTTTTTCGTCTTACAATATATGGATGCCAATCAATCCGCTTTNCATCCGCCGTTCAGAGGGCTCTGCTCAGCATACGCATGCGCTACGGGTCTGAAATTCTAATCATTTGCATATCATGCTCTACTTTGCATTTCCTGGAAATTTCAGCTCACGCGCGTAAGTCCCTCATTGTGTTGCAATTTTCACAAACATGAGTTTATATTAATATCCCTTCCTATACAGTTGGATGAAAGTTAAAAAATTTTCAAAAATAGTTCCGATAATTCCAAGGTTTTATAAATATTTTTGTTCGTGTCATTTTTTTATCTAGTGGTAGATTAAAACATTATATTTCTTTTTCGTCTTACAATATATGGATGCCAATCAATCCGCTTTCTGCAAATAATTCAATAAGGTAGTAGATTTAAAAGCTGAAGTTGGCTGAATTCAGAAAAATTTCTACAAGATTCATTACTGAAACAAAGTAGCATTTTGAGCATGAGTTCTTTCAATGAAGTAGTAAGCAAAATATAAATCAAGTTTACTAAATCGAGAACCACACATGAAAGTATAAATTGTACAATTGTTGAAAAGATTTTCTCACGAAGCAGAACAAATTGACATCTCTGCTAACATATATTTTTTTCTGTAAAAAAAATAATATCTAGTAGTTTTATAAGAATCTAAATGATAATGGCAACATGTGGTTACCACTGTTAACAGAGGAAGTACTTAACAAAGGAAATAAATACTTACTTCACCATTCATGAAACAAAATATAATCGACACCAGAAAACCCTGAAAGAGATATTTTATAAACTTCATTGGATGCAAAATACACATCACTAACAAAATACAACAAATAAATATACTATGTATGAAGTACCGAGAATATTATATGAATAAAACATAACTAATTCTTGTTAAGATTAGATTGGGCCGTATTCTTTTCCCTTGATTGTCATAAAAAAATATACTACAATACGTTAAAGTATATACAGTTTTTGATTAAAATAATGGAAACAGTTCTATACTAACTCTATGTAAACAAGCTTTCTCTTATAAGCGTGTGCGTATTTCTCTTACAACTCCAGAACCAATTGTATCATACTGAAATTTGAACAACGGTTGAAAGGGACAATTGTTTAATAATGATCAAGGTTCATCGTTATTTATAATAATATAATTAAAAGTTTGCATGCATGTGTGTGTGTATTTCTCTTAAAACTCCAGAACCAATTGTACCGTACTGAAATTTGAACAGCAGCCTCGATCCTAATATTAGCTCGAAATTTTCGATTTGATCATTCAGAAAAGCCGTATGAAAAATGGAATTTTCTCATTGGTTAAGCGTTAGCAATTGTTTTAAAATAACGATTCAATTTTTTCAAATATTCATTAAAATATATCATTGATGTTTGCTAGCTTATAGCTCTATTTGATAAAAAAAAACACGAGTTTATCGCACGTATTTTAAATTTTAATCATTTTTTATTCGCTATATTAGGTCAATTCAGTGATCAACGTAAGCGTGGTAAAATGGGTGGACTACGTCTCCAAATTAGTATTTATCTGAAACCACGTGTTTATTTTGTTTGCAAAAAATGTTTTAAAAAGTGATTTCTTCTAAATAATTTAAAATCAACGGTAATTAAAATGAAAAAAATATTAGTTATATATTACACGGCAAAATTAATGGTAAATTGGTACTTGGTATTTTGAGGAACCATAAAATTCGCCATACTATTATTGAAGTTAATGATGCTTAATTAGTGTTATTTTATTTTATAGCCGTCGTTGAACAGCCGTTGTTAGTAATATGCATTAATTAAAAAAAAACTAAGTTATATACTAAAATGTACTGAGCTATGTACTCGCGGGGGGGGTTNGGGGGGGGGCGAGTGTAGAGCCTATTCTGAGAACCACGGCATAGCTGCAACTTTTACGCATTTTGTGTAAAATTTTATGCTTGTACTTAAAGTGGTAGTAAAATGAACGGTTACTATTTATTATTTGTATTTATAAATTTAATTTAAAATATTTTTTACCAACACTGCATACATATAAATTAAACATGTATAAAAAAGTATGATAAACATACCCAAATGTATTCAAGCTGTTACAAACTAAAATATATATTTCTGTGAATGACTGCCATTCTGTTTACAACCACCTGGAAAAATCATCCTCGAATAGTTTAGAAGTTGGCAGGTATGCCATCGGTTTAAACCAAATAGTTATTTATTTCTGAATATCTACACGCTTTGGAGGATGGAATTGAGTACTGTTTTAACGAAATTAAGGAACAGTTCGGTAAAACTTCGACAGTTATGAAAATATCGACAAACAAAACAAATGCATACACAACAAAAACTTTTTCCCGATATCCTGTTCTCTACTTGATCCTATACCGCATACCTTTTAAATAAAATAAAAAAAATCACTGTTTTTAATCGGAAATCTATGTTTTCTATCAAAAATCACTTCGTTGTGCATGAATTTAGAACACCTTAAGGATAGAATCTTAAGAAGCAGCAGAGAGGTAACTTATACTTTTTTTGTAAAGTATAAGTTACCTTTCTGCTATCAAATTTCAAATATCAATCAAATTTGTTAAATTATGAATGTTCATAAATGCTTACCTGTAGTCCATCCATAGCGTTGTTAAAGAAGGTGTATGCTTGCAATAAAGCACAGTTACCATATTGTGGTCTGTAGACGATGAGACAGAAATGCAGTCCGAAAAGAGGGACTAGGACTAGAGTTGCCCGCACTGCTTTCCTAGAACAGGAATAAGAAAAATTTCAGAAAATTTAAATCAGTAAAACATAAAATTATGGTGGTAAAATTTTTTGCCATTTCAACCCTTTCCTCACTTAAATTATTTTAGCTAAAAACAATTTTTTTTTCGTCTTCTCTTTTCATTGGTAACAAAAAAATTTTTGTCGCAATTTTACACACAATTTGTCACAATTTTTGTCAATGAATTTCCATTTCAGTATCTTTTTCAATCCTTTTCAACTTTTCCATAAATAATAAATCTAGTTTTCGATTCGAATGTCTTTTGCACTTTTTGAATAAGAAAGAAAAAATCACTTTCTGCTTATGGTATAATAATATTAATATAATATGGTATAATATAATTATAATAGTTTTAGGTTTATAACTGGTAAGTTATTTATAATTTTTGAAGTTTCATATCAAGGTAAAATTTGCGACTTTAGGGATATGGTGTTGCCCTAGCACACGAAATACACTCAGCCCCAGCCGACTCACACGAACCCGCTCTCGATTTTTTGGTGCTAAGCACCCCCTCTTCCTCCCATCTCCATTCCTCCTCACATCATCGATTTATTACTACAGATGAATCGGTTAATGCCGCTTCGCGGCAGCGTACCGAGATTTATGTGATTTCTACCATTCTACCTTTCTACAACATTTGGGCTGCTAGCTTTGCTTGAAAAATGTGCAGTTGATTTAAACTCCTCATTACCGTTTGAGTGTTTCCTCGTTTGAGAACGGTTCTTTCTTTTTAAAATGATAAAAAGTAGTAGCACAATTATTTTTTTTTGTTTATTTTTATCGTCGAGGCATAAAATATGCAAGGCTGCCAACTACGCTTGCGGCATAATATTTGATAGAGTGGTAGACAATTAAACGATAAAGCTTTCAGAATGTATGGTAATTTTGCCAACATTTTAAAAGCCACACCTTAAGAAAACTGGAAGACTATTAAGTTTCGAATTAAAAATTAATAGTTATTGTAAGTATACGGTGCATTTACTTATAAAAAGCAACAATGAACGCATGACTTAAATATTACCAATTCATACTCCAATTTAGTCTGAGATTTCAGCAACGCATGAGACAAATCTGTATTTATGTCGTGACAATTAACATAAATTGCATACTATAACTTACATTAAAAATATCGTTGTTGTCGTAGCCTATTAAGGCAGAAGAGTGCAATTGTTCTTGTTTTCCAGTGGTGCCATCTATGTCCAAGAATTCAAATCCTGCCCCACCCACACGTCACATTCGGGTGGATCCATTCATACATCCATTCATTCGTCCACAGATCGTAATTTTGACCTGAACCAGAGAATGGTCGATTTCCAATTCTGTACCCCTAGAGCAGTGTTTCCCAAAGTGTGGTACGCGTACCCCCTGGGGTACGGGAACAGTTAAGCGGGGGTACGCGTTCTAATGCGAAATATCTTGCAACAAACGAAATTTTCAAATTTTTTTATTTAAAAACAAATCTAGCCATGAAAATTTACGATTACGTATTTTTCTATTGGCTATTTTTTTGCAGTTAACAGTTAATAATGAGTGGTGTCAACAGCCAGTTGTGACTTTTAACTTTAGTGCAATTTTTTTATAGTAAAAAATACATTCATTTTTTTTATTAGTGGTACACAGCGCTACAAAACATTTAGAAAGGGTACACAAAAGTCATTAGTTTGGGAAACACTGCCCTAGAGGTATAATTTGTTATGGGAACGTGGTGGATTTTGTGAGCCGATAGATTTAACCTACCCCATTTACAACAAGGGGAGTCTTCGGCCGGCTGGATTCGAACCCCCGTTCTCACGAACGTGCGGACAGCGCCCTGCCAACTAGGCTATCCCCGCCCAAAAATATCATTCTAGATAGATATTAAACTATTTATAATTTATTTTAACGCATTGCAATCGAGTCGCGTAAAAATACGTTTTTAAAGTTTCTGTGATCCATACAAAAGTTTAAAAAGTGGTAGCAAAACTACTACGCTCCCGCTCTGTTTTTCAATGAAATTAACCATTCGTGATCACCGCAAACAAATTAATCAGTATTCATGTAAAGTACTACAATCGTTCGTCGTAAATTGTTTTTTAAAATTGAAGTTATTTTAATTTATAACAGCTGTAATACATATTTTGGAAAAATTGCCGTCATGCAATGTGTTAACTACGTAACAGAAATGATTACGTGTAAAATTTTATATTGATAATGGAAAGGGGATTGTCCCCTTTAGCTTTCAAATGTATTTCATAGGAGTTTGACGATAGCTCAAATTTTACATAAAATAATTTGAAATAATCTTACCTATACTGACTGGGCTCTCGAGCATGTGTAGCACGTAATTTAGTCACCAGTACTCTGATGATGTTGCAAAGGAACACTATATTTACCTAATTAAAAAGATTTTTTTCATCAGTTTCTGATAACTCTGCAGGCGATTTTTTTATGAAGGTCAAAATAATTCTTTTTTTTTTAATTCTCTTCTAAGTATTTCCATAATTTTTTATTTTAATATAGACTCTTAAAAATATTAATAAAGAAACATTAAATTTTGGTATTAAACACTTTGACCAATTTTAGAATAAGTAAAAATAAAATTGAGCTTCGAAGTTTACATGTGTTTCAGATTAATAATCATTAACACGTTGAATATCATGGGGGTGACCGCCGAAGCCAAGATTATTAGAAATACATAATTCGAGTAAATTTTTAATTTTTCTATATTATTATCGTTACTAGAATGGTTTGAAGAAATTAATACAATATAGAACACACAAAAAAAAGTTTTATTTATGTACACAAGGATGCCAACTTGCTCCGGACAGCGAATAAATATTTTCAACTGGTAGTTTATTAACTGTGATTCTTGGTTTAATAAATTCAATTTGGTAGATTTTTATCCACCACTATTTATAAATAATTCATAGGCTTATATAATTCACCACTTTATAGTAAGTATGTCATGCTACACCTTTTAAAAAACAAGCAAAAATAGTCAAATATTTGCAAAATTTACTTTGTAGTTATTTACCGTTTTTTTAAATTATTTTGGCGTGTCCGGAGTAGTTGGCATCTCTGGTAGACTCGTAAAAACTAAACCTTTCAGAATTTTTGGTAATTTTGAGAAAAATGTTAAAGCTTCTCCAAAGTGACGTTTCATATTAACTTTTTAATTATTTACATGTAGTGGTATGGAAAATAACTTTAAAACAAATTTACGAATCAAAGAATCATACATTAAATTAAAAACTTAGCTACCACTAAAAATGTTTTTCTTAAAAAGCGTGGAAAGTTGTAAGCCCTGCATTTTGGTGAATATCAAAATGTATTATTATATCTTAACCAAGCAAATTACGACAATGAAATAATTCAGTTACGTCTTCATGAAAAAGACGCCTGTTACAAAAATTAACATTTCTATAGATTCTAATAACATGAAACAAGTTTAGTCTCTTGTATTTATTTAAAGCTTAAAATTTGAAGCTAAGTCATGAATAACATTTATGTTTCAATGCAATGAACTAATTATATGCTTATTTAACATAAGCGCCATGAATATGTTTGAACTAACGAACGTTGATTTGAATTTAGTCACTGCGTCAGTTCAGAAAATGAAACTCGATCACTTTCAAAAGAAATAGTGCTTCAAAAGTAACTGAAATAATTGATGTAACCAATAGAAAATTTTAAAGAAGAAAACAAATAAAATATAAAGATGACAACCGAAGCTGACGTCGTCAGGGGGTACCAGCTCCGAAACTCATAAAAACACAAAACCTTTTCTATCGAGTGAGCACGACAAATGTCTAAAAGTTGCTCTCTTTGTACCCCCAAAGGTTTTGTAAAAAGTTTGGGTAAAGATACAGTTTGGGTAAAGATTTTCAGAAAGTTGTTTGCTTTGGTTTGAAATAGAACTATTTTTAAGTAAGTTTTTTCAACAATGTTTTCCTTTTGTAATAAGTTTAGGTAATTTACTTTTGTATTTTTACTTCTTTTCTCCTTTTCTGGAATTTTTACAAAACCTTTGGGGGTACAGAGAGAGCAATTTTTAGACACTTGTCGTGCTCTTTGATAGAAAAGGTTTTGCGTTTTTATGCTGGTACCCCGTGACGACGCCAGCTAATGTTGTAATTTTTATATTTTCATTGTTTTCTTCTTTAAAATTTTCCATTGGTTTCAATTTTCGTATGGAATTTCTGCTGCATATTGCGCAACTTTCCTTTGGAATGGCAGTATTTATTGCTTTATACATGATTTTTGCCTTCTCTTTTTATTACTATAATTGATGTAAACTATAGAGCATGAACATTAACGTCAAATTTTCCAGAATTAGATCAGAGCTGCAAACCACTACGCTTTTTGAAAAATATTTATTTTTGATAGTGCTATACAATTTAAAAACAAAAAGCTTGTAGAACTTTTAGCATTTTACTAGCATTTGAATAGACTCACCATGTAAAATCTGGTATAAAGTGGAGTTTCATATGAGCTTTTTAATCATTTACATGTAATGGTGTGAAATATGATTTTAAATCAAATTTGCAAGACAAAGAATTATACATTAAAAAAAAAACATAAACTTATCGACAACTAAAAGGTATTATCCCAAAAACAGTAGAAAAATCGGCAGCCCTGTAAATTTACCGTGATGTGCTAAATTTGTTCATTTTCCAGACTTTTTCTTATTAAAAGTGGTGACAAAATGTTTGCTTTAATTTTTTATCTTGGTTGAACAAATTTGATTTCTTATAATTTTTCTCAGCACTACTTATAAATAGTTGAAATAAATATTTGAAACTCTTAACAATAATCTTTTAAAATATTAAGTGCTTGAAAAATTTAAAAAATTCTTTGCACGCCTTGTATGGCTACTACTACAGAAATCTTAAACAGAAAGCACACACACACACACAAAAAAAAAAAAACTGCAGCCGTGAATTAAGCTTCTGACATAGTGTGACGCAGAAAAACGAATAAACGTTATAATTCGTTACATATAGTAACAATTTTACTTTATTTTTTAAAAAAAAATCTGAGGAATATTCTTTTTTAAGTCACCTTTGTATAATTTTTTAATTAAAAACGCATCATTGAAATAATTTATTATTAAATGAACACAAGTACGCTTACTATTAAACTGAGTAAATTTGGCGCATACATAATCCACTCATATGGCTCAGCATGCTGTATCCAACATCTGAAGTTAAAAAAAAAAATGAAATTAATACATAAAAATTAAAATACAAAAAAACAGCAACATAATGTTAATAATTTAAGTTATTGTTTANAAATAGCAACCCTCGTAGAACAGCACAATACGATTTTCCTATGAAGGTCAAAATGATCCTTTTTTTTCTAAATCTCATTAAAAAAGGAAAAACTTGTAGAATTTTTGGAATTTTGCTAACATTTGAATAGACTCACCATAAGAGTGCTGGTATAAAGTGGAGTTTCATATGAGCTTTTTAATCATTTACATGTAGTGGTGTGGAATTTAATTTTAAATCAAATTTACAAAACAAAGAATTATACATTAAAAAAACATAAACTTATCGCTGGAAGGTATTATCGCAAAAAGCGTAGAAAAATCGGCAGCCCTGTAAATTTGCCGTGATGTGCTAAAATTGCTCATTTTCCAGACTTTTTCTTATTAAAAGTGGTGACAAAATATTTGAGTTAATATTTTATCTTGGTTGAACAAATTTGATTTCTTATGATATTGATCAGCCCACACTAATAAATAATTGAAATAAATATTTGAAAGTCTTAACAATAATCTTTTAAAATATTAAGTGCTTGAAAAATTTAAAAAATTCTTTTCACGCCTTATATGGCTACTAATACAGAAATCTTGAACAGAAAGCACAAAAAAAAAAGAAAAAAAAAACTGCAGCAGTGAATTAAGTTTCTGACACAGCGTGGCCAAGAAAAACGAATAAACGTTATAATTCGTTACATGTAGTAACAATTTTACTTTATTTTTGAATAATTTCTAAAAAACATTCTTTTTTAAGTCACTTTCGTATAATCTTTTAATTAAAAACGCATCATTGAAATAATTTATTATTAAATGAACACAAGTGCGCTTACTATTAAACTGAGTAAATTTGGAGCATACATAATCCACTCATATGGCTCAGCATGCTGTATCCAACATCTGAAGTTAAAAAAAATGAAATTAATGCATGAAAATTAAAATACAAAAAAACAGCAACATAATGTTAATAATTTAAGTTATTGTTTACACAAGAATTAAAAATTTTATGAATAGCAGAGATAGTATTTTTATTTATAATCATTGTTTTTCTTTCTTTTTTAGGACAGAACTTTAATGTTTAAAGGTGTAGCAGTCTAAAATTCTCAGTATATTTCCTTTAAAAAAACAATATGTATTCGTGGTCATAAATATATTAAAATATCAACTTAGTTTGTTCCATTTCTGTCATCACTTTTTGAAATTTGTTTCCCTGGGAATGATTTTGTGATTTTTTTCTCCAATAAACAATGTATTGCAGAGCTGCTAACGACTACACTTTTAGCAACATATTTTATAGAGTGGTAAACAATTAAAAGCTAAAGCTTTCAGAATTTTGTCAAATTTCGGTAACATTTTTAAAGTTTCAATACTAAAGAACCGGTAGAAATTATCTTTCTGTATGAATTTCTGAATCTCACATGTAGTGGTGTAGAAAAAAACTAAACAAAGAATCATACTAAACAAAGAATCATACTAAACAACATTTACTAAACAAAGAATCATACATTTAAACATAAAATTTACCTCCAGAAGAAATTTTGCCTCAAAGTGTCGAAAGTTCGCAGCTCTAATGTAGTATAAGTCATAGCGTATTAATATAATTTGAGACAGATGTTTGATGTGTATCGAAAGAGATATTTGGCATACTCCACTATATGTACGCCTAGGTATAAACCTACAGTGACCCTGAACTTAACATTTCAGTCTCCTCTTTCAGTTACAATTTTTGATTTTATTTTATAACTGTCGTTGAACAGCTAACAAAACTTGTTGTTTAAGACTATCGGTGTACAGCTCCGTAGCCTTGTAATTTTGAACCCAATCCAGAAGACAAGGGAACTGTGACTCAAGCATTGCGACAAACTAGCCTTCATGGAGAGCTAGCTATTTGATGGTACTAGACCGCATTTGCTTTACACAGTGAGGAAAATCTACGAAAACCCTTGACAGTTCACCCGACTTCAAGGTCCATGATCCATCAACCACAAAAGGGATTTTCCGTCAGTATTGTGGTCGGTACTAGCCGGGAAAAGAATTCATGTCAACCAGCCACCGCTGGGATTCGAATCTGCGTCATCTTATTGGCAGGTGACAGCTCGATTCCCTGAGCCAACGCTTTTCTTTCGTTTGAAAATTTAGAATAATTAATTTAAAAGTTTAGAATGCTGCAGATATTACTAGTAAAGTACTTACTTGTCATCTGCTAAAGTGGCACGTATTATGGCATAGATACCAACTGGAACAACTGGAAATACTAAAAATAAATAAAAACATAATTGGAAAATGATGTTTGAATTTTCTTTTACATTAGAACTGTTTGTACACCGGAAGAAAGATATAAAAATGGTAATAAGATTCACTTTCTTTATAGCTTGTTTTCGCAAGGTCCATGATTTGCAAGATCCCCTGACAATTATTTTCCATCTTAACAAATAGACTTGCATACACACAGCTGCCAACTACTACGCCTTTTGAGAAATATTTTATTGAATGGCATACCTGTTAACTCTTCCGGAAGATTTTATTTTCATATTTAAAGTGATAGCAATACTCAGGTTATTCCAATTAACTTTTTGAATTATAATGATAATTATAAATGCGTCTGACCACCACTAGATATAAATAATTACAATAAATATATGAAAGCATAATAATCCTTGCGCAAGCAAATTTCAACGGGATCAAATTATAAATATATTTTTGAATCAGATTGATTTTCGTTTATTGTTTTACAACCACTCTGATAATCCATTCTCGGAAGGAGTGAAAGTTGGCAGGTATGGAATGGTATTCAAATAAAAACTAAAACTTGCAGAATTTTTGGCATTTTGCCAACATTTTAATAATCTCACCATGAGAGAACTAATACAAAGTAGAGTTTCATATGAACTTTTGAATTATTTAAATGTAGTGGTGTAGAAAATAACTTTAAATTAGATTCACAAAACAAAGAATTATGCATTATAACATAAACTCAGCTACCACTGGAAGAAATTTTCCCAAAAAGCGTTTAAAGTCCTGCATATGCAGTATAATCTATACTGCAGCTCTGTATATGCATATAACAGCCCTGTATATACATTATAACTCTTTATATGTCTTGGTAGCCAAGGACCATTATTTCTCACGAAAACAAGTTATATATGAAACGGTTTTAACACCAGGCTTTTTTACCTTCACTAGCAAACAAACTGTCCTGCTTACTTGTTAAAAATACCTGTTGCGCATCTGAAAATTTAAAAAAAAATTTATTTTATTATATTTTAAACTATCCCAATGTTTATTAGCGTAGTGTAAATATTTCCTGAGCTAAAGGCTGAGAGATTTAATTGAATTTTTAATTCTGTAGTGAAAAGTTAGATAGTGTAAAAAGTTGCTTTAGGAATACTACTTTTTTTAAGAGTTGATAGATAATCAATTGATGGTTTTAGACGCAATTATCATTTCTTTCTAAACTGCTGTTTGTAGAAAATGCAACACCATGAAGGAATCATCAGAATCAAATGAAATATTATTTTAATAATGGATATAGGATATTATGCAAATTAATAAAGTTTCAGAGCCATCGCGCGTGCGTGGCGCGCGCAGCGCCCTCTGAATTGATGCTGAAAGCGTATAAATAAAGTGCTGTAGCGGGACGTTGAAAATAGTCTATGATTATTTGTTAGTGGCAAACGTTTAGTGAGACCTGAGTATGCCTCCACGACGGAAGAATAAGAAATTCAAGCAACTTACGGAGTTTGAACGAGGGAGGATAATCGGCCTTCGAGAAGGAGGATTTTCCTATCGCGCAATAGCAGCTCGTATGCAGCGGAACAGTTCCACAGTGATGCGAGTTTGGAAGCAGTGGACCGACGAGCACCGAACAACTCGAAAAACAGGCACTGGACGACAGAAGGTGACGTCAGAGCGCGATGATCGACACCTGCTCCGCATGGCGGTGAATGATCGCACAGCTTCCTCCAGGCAGCTGGCAGCACATTGGTCTACTGCTACAGGTGTACAATTGTCGGCTTCGTCAATTCGTCGTCGTCTGCTGCGCCGTGGATTGCGTGCAAGGGTGCCATTATACAGGATTCCCCTCACGGCGGATCATCGACGGCTGCGTCGGCAGTGGGCTCTTGAGCACAGAGACTGGCGAGCTGATTGGCACCAAGTTGTCTTTTCAGATGAATCACGCTTCAATTTGTGGACCCATGATGGCCGTGTTCGTGTTAGACGTTATGCCGGTCAACGCTGCCTTCCTGAGTGTATTATTGAACGACATAGTGGTCGAACACCCGGAGTTATGGTCTGGGGTGCGATTTCGTATCATGGACGATCCAATTTGATACGAATTGAGGGTAATCTCAATAGCAACAGATACGTCCGTGAAGTGCTACAGCCCGAAGTCGTTCCTTTCCTTCAAGGCATCCCTGGAGCTATCTTTCAGCAGGATAATGCACGCCCACATGTTGCGCGGACTGTTAGAGACTTCTGTTCAGCACAACGCATGCAACTTCTTCCTTGGCCTGCTTATTCGCCGGATATGTCGCCTATTGAGCACGTGTGGGATATGGTTGGTCGGCGTCTCACTCGTGATCCGCGTCCTGCAGTTTCCAAAGACGAACTTTGGTTGCGCATACAAGCGATATGGAATTCTCTTCCTCAAGCAGATATTCAACATCTGTTTGACTCCATGCCACGTCGTATAGCAGCACTTATTGCAGCGCGTGGTGGCTGCACCAAATACTGATTTCGGACGCTTAATTTGTTTCTTTTGTTTTGAAAATTTCATCATTTATTTGTATCAGTACAAGTCGTTTCTGCATTAAATTTCATTTGATTCTGATGATTCTTTCATGGTGTTGCATTTTCTACAAACAGCAGTTTATTTTAAAAAATTATGCATGTGATGTAAAAGTTTTATTGCAAGTGTATTGCTTAGACCAATGGAAAGATAGTACTTCATGATATATTGTATATTCCTTTTTAATATCTCGCCAGCTACTTTTGCCATGATGATTCTGAGAGCCTAGTCCGATGGAACGGTTGCTAACTTGTACGGTTGTTGGGAAAAATTTTACAAAGAGTGAGTAAAATAATTAAAGTAAGATGAATTTTTTAAGTTAAGTTACTTCGCTAACACATTTAAACCATAAATTAAATTTTTAATTCCAAGAATAAAATAGAAAAAACATACATTTTGTTCCCACTTAAACAAATCTTACGGATCATCTACAAAAGTAGGCAGCAAAAGTTATGCAATAATAAATTAATATTCCACAAATTAATTTTTATATTTCCTTTTGCTGTTCGTCAAATTCTTTAATATTTAGCCATGTAACAATGCTAACTACAATAGATGAATCAGTCTGTCTCAATATCAGGTTAATGTTAAGAATGAGAAGCAGTTGCTCATCCATGTCATACATCAATTTAAATATTTCTGCCGTAACTCTTGTTTTAACAAACCTGAAACTCAGTTTAAAATAATATACGTTCGACTCATCTCAAATTCCATCAATCTTCAAAACTCTATTAGTAAGCTGAACTACGTTTTCTGTAAATAATCCCATAATCTTCTCTGAGTGATAGATTAATTTTTTTGTGTATGCTCATTTCTTTGGGTGTAATAACAACTTTAATAATCCGATCTTCAGCTAGGGAACGGCTGTGATATTTGATATTGTTACCTTCGAGTTCCTTTATAATTGTTCAGTGAGTTTTTGTTGGTGATTTTAATATTCATTCTGTCTCCTACAGATTTGCCTATAGAATCCTTAATTTTTTTCCCTTTCATTTTGTCCAAAAAGTCATTCCAGATAAATTTGGGATCCTTTACTACATTTGGGGTGCTGTAAGTCTTTTTTTTTTTTTAAAAAAAAGGTAAGTGGAAAATAACATCACTGAGAGAATTTCGTTAGCAGTAGACGTCCTAATACATAAAAATGCTTGAATACCGTGCTATACTAGAATACCTAATACTAGAATGTAGAATATACTAGAATGTGATACCTAAACCTTTTCGGGACGGGCGAGTCATAAATGTAGTCGCATGGAATCAGAATCATGATAGTAAAAAATAAAAAGCGGTAGCTTAAGTTAGGGCATAGGTAATTTGACAGATTTATTTTTGCTTTCACTTTTAAATCTAACACATCCAATACTAAAGCTCTAAAAGTGTAACTGTGCAATTTGCAATTCGAACTAAGTAGTGGTGAATTAAATAAAGTAAACTATTATTTCCCAGCCCACAAATAAACTGCTATAAAAATAGTTTGGCTACCAGTTTAACTTTTTTTTTTCTGTGATTATCGACACCCTGAGAATGCATATATGACTCATGACATATGAAGATAAAAAGTGTAATTACTATCGATTTTAAATTTTCTTAACCAAATGGCTGATTATTAATACAATTATATTTTCCTTACACTTAATTGAGGCTAATTTATGTTCAAAATTAAATTTTTATATGAAAAGTGGTAGAGAAGCTGATATTTTTCGATTTAATTCTTAGATTTACTTTTTAAAATGATTTTGATCACAGCTACGAATAAATAATTGTTTTTAAATTCTGGCGAAATATGAAACATATTTGCTTATAATTGTAATTCGACAATCATTTCACAGTCTCTTGGGAGAAACAACCTCCGAAAGTGTTGAAATTGGCAGTTATGCATATAGTTGTCCTCGCAAATGTATTAAATGATCTAGGTTTGCCTCCGTGTTGGCTACCGCTATGAAATATTTTCTAATCCCGCGGGCTTTGTAGATTATAAAAAGTGGTAACGAAAATTAAATAAATGTCTACAATTTAAATTTTGTGTAACACCATTAAAAATTGTTTTCCGAACAAAGTATACATGCATGGAAATTCCAGCTTCTAAGCCACTTAACGTCAAAGTGGTATATTAAAATAAGAAATATCTTTTAACATTAACCTGAATTTACTACCACTACTAAAGTTTTTCAAGGACCGTGGGAACCCTGTAATATGCCTGCGGGGGATTATTCAATCTAACGGCCCACCCTTCTCTTTGGCATTTGCTTTAATAAATAAAAACCTTGATTCTTGTTTTTTTTTAAACTTGATTTCGGGTAACAAAGTTTAAAAAAAAATAAAAACTTGCATTCTAATTGCGACCAACTACATCCAAGAGGAAAATCTCCAAAAAAGAGAGCAAGTTGTTAAAGGCCGATGGATTGTAAATTAGCTGCCCGTGGTTGCTTTGATCAACGCTTTGATAACCAGATTTATGTTGGAATTATTGTATCGTGGTGCTCATACGTGTGACACAAAAGAATAAACAAATTAATATTAAGCTACCCATATTATTATGTAGTAATGAAGCTGCCCGTAAAAAAAAAAAGCTTATAAATTGGTAACTGTAATATGAGATAGATTTAAAACATAACGAACCCCATCCAATAATGTAGAACATGATGAAACTCTTCTGTTCAGCAAAAGTGGCGGCAATCAGTTTTTGTAAATAGAAACCTTCACAAAACATCCACATGTAGTTCGTTGAGCGGAAATACTTTGTTAAAGTGAATATGATTTTGCACAATGACTAAAAAGAAATACAACAATATATCAGTTTTTGGAAAAAAGGAAAAGTAGAAAAATAATAGGGCGAAATGAAATAATTTGGACGTAGTATAATTTTTTTTATTTATCACATTGCATTAAACATAGGATGTCCAGTGGAAAATTAACTGATTTCAAGATTAAAATTCTTGGAAACAATAAGGTGATAGAGAAATGAAACAAACAGTATGAGAGCTGTAACAAATTTCATGTAAAAATTTGCGAAATTAAGTTTCCTATAGATGGTATATCGCCAACCAGACAGATTAAATTTTAGCGTTTAAATATGAAAAATTGTACCGTGCTTTCCTGAACACTGTTAGATTACAGCCCCATAGCATTTGTGTTTTTTTTCAAGAACTTTGCAACATTTATTATTTGCTGCCTACTAACTAACACCATCTGCTGGCAACTAAATTACAAAATTCCTGCTATTAACCCATTCTGGTAAAAAAAAATGGCGTAATTATGACCATTTATGTTTAATGAAGACAGAGAATTAGAATCAAAAGTGGAAAAAATACTGTAGGCTTAGTAATAAACCGTTTTGCCAAATCACAAGCAATTTCTGTGAGGGTTTTAACCACTTAGGATTAACATACGCCATACGTGGTCACTGCAAGTGTTAAGAATTTTTTTAATATTGACTTAATTTTTTTTATTTAACAACTATTGAAAGGTTCTTGAAACAAAATGTATACATTAAACTTGATGAAAACATATTTTTTTTAAGTCTCAGAACGAGTTTTTTTAAAATGGCCCTGGATATAAATATTCCACTGGACCCTATATGAATAAAGTTATTTTTTAATTGTTTTTCTGTGTTTTTCAACTGAACCAAGGGTTAAAAAACCAGCTTTGTCATGCCTGCATGTGTGTAACAAATAAAATAATATAATGGTTTTAATTATCAAAATGACTGCGTAGAAAACAATGCTTAAAAAGTTTCATGATACTCACGCTGTTTTGTTCAATGTATGTTTCATATGAAGGACTCCTTTTCAATTCATCTTTCACTATGAGTAACTTGAATAAGATCATGAACAGAGCGTTTAAAAGTTGAGAAAAGAAAAAGTGTTTATGCATTTTGATGCGAGGTACTTGAAGTTGTCTGCAAGAGAAACAATCAAAACTTCTAAAATATATATTAGAGCTTTTTACGAATGAGTATAAATTATGCGTTTATGCTTTATGTATGAGCGATATTCTGTATAGATATAATTCGGTCCTCGTCTTCGATCTGACATTCCCCAAAATATTTGAATGCACAAAAAATGCTTCAGGTGATATATAACCCTTTTAATTAACCTTTTGAAATATTTTAGTAATTTTCATAAATTACAAAGGAGTTAAAATAATCTGATTGGAAAGAAATGCAATCGATTTCGGTGGTCAAATGCAACAAATACTTTGTATAGCTGGAAATGAGATTGCTGACAGTTTGGCCAAAGTAGGTGCTGAAGAGGCCATTACGACTGTCGCTTCTCTTACTTACTTGGAGCATTTTTCTAAATGTAAGGCAAAGAATATGACCATTTGGACGGTCCCACCGGTACACTCATGGTATCAGAGTAGGTGCCCAGGGCGCTCCTTGGCTCGGAGCAGCAATAGACGAGAACAAACTCCCATTACTCGTTTCCTCAGTGGACATCTGTCATCAATGACTTATAACGATGGTAATAAACACTTCGAAATCTGCTGCCCAGGCCTCCCCTGACCAAATTTTATCTTGTCTGGAACTTACCAGGCAGGACCTGGTTCAAGCTCCCCTGCTGTTGCTAGACTTTCTCAGAGTGAACGAACTCATGCACCTGATCTAGCTCTGCTGGTCATGGGGATGAGAACAACAACAACAACAACAATACTTTGTTGCATTTGACCACCGAATTATGTGTATATGCAGCCTATATTTATGAGTAAATATATTTTCTTATGACATACATTCTAAATCAATTCAGATATCTTTTAACTGAAAAAGTTCTAGCTTTTTTTTTCGTTATGAGTTATTCTGCGAGAAAATGGACTTAAAAGTGATTGAACTGAAAAGTGACAAAGAGGTTTGTGGGTTATGCATTTGCTTACGTTACATCACAAAATCACTGACTGCGGTCAGTAAGCGGGTGGGTGACCACTTTGATTAGTCTGCATAGGGCCCGAGGGTGCGTGGTATCGGTTCTCTTTAAACTGTTCTACCGTTAAGTGTTCGACTTCGCGCGCAGGTCGTCACGCTACCAAAGCAGAGGTGTCACCTCCTCTGCAGAGGATCAAAATTGCGATGGTATGTTTTCGGATCATCCTCAGGGATGTTTCCTAGGGAGAGAAAAATACTTAGACTTATTTTTATCACCACTGCTAATTTCAAAATAAAAGTTGCGCGAATAACCAATTCATAATAAATTTGTTATAATAAAATGAAAAAAAAGTACTGTCATTGTCACCCACCCTGAACTGTCGGTTTGCAGTCAGAGGCAGTGGGTCTGCTCCCCGACACGGGGTTTTTAGTTGTTGTTGTTCATTTACGCCGCACTAGAGCTGCACAATGGGCTATTGGCGACGGTCTGGGAAAGTTCACGTCTGGGGTTTAGTTCACGTGACAACGGGTGAAACCCTTATCCGCAAACTCCTTCGAGGGTAGGTCGGTTACTACTACTATTAGTTGTCGTAAACCCAAAAATTGGGTTGGCTGTTCAACGACGATTATAAAAAAATTATATATATACAGTATTTTGAATGGTATTCAGAAGATTTATGTACTGATTTAATAATTAATCCATAATATAAAAACTCATATTCAAATAAGTGAAAGATTAAATTATAACAACTCACTTAAAAGTCATAAATACGATCAATGAGGGAACAATGGCAATCACTGAAATTATGTACATTGTGACGTGAAATTCTAAATGCATGGCATATTCCTAAAATTGAGTAAGAGTATATAAATTACTTTTAAATGTATCAGGCGTAATTTTAATAAAAATTATTGCGTATGAAGTCTGCGCAAGTACGAAATCTGATGAAAATTATTTAATTTTGGATAGTCATAAAAATAATAACAGTTAAAAAAAAATGTTTAACAAGCTAGTTGAAAGCATATTTGAATTTCCCGTTCCCATGTAGGTCTTCTTAATCAATAATGTGCAACAGGGGAGAGTTGGACGAAATCAGGTAGAAGTATAAAACAGGGACCGGGTATTTTTGGACTAAAACTACTACTATATTTATCGGAAATCAAATGAGACTAGTTTAGGGAGAAAGCTTAATGAAGCAGCTTAGCTACCTGATGGTGAATATAGAATACGTTAGCCGAGAGGAATAACGAGTCAATCCTATGATCGATCGAACGGGGGTCCGAATCCACAAAATTCCCACCATTTTTTGAACCGGAGGATTCTCCTGCACACCGGTCGGACATTCTCCTGCACACTGGTCGGACATTCTGTTGCACACCGATCGGATATTCTGCTGCACACCTCGAGTCACAGATATGGTTAATGATATTTGGAGATAAATGAAAATCAGAATAGGCTATCCGCTTGTCGATGTTAAAACAGGTTTTACAACACCTTTAAATTATGCTAAGCATTTCTTTTCCTTTCAAGTTGCACTATCGGATAAAACCGGATCTTTTACAATTGGACACAATCAAGTACCTTATTTTATCCGATTCGGAAAATGTGGGTGGAGGAGAATGGGTGTGAGAGAGATTTTCCTTGACTGCCGACAGAATTCAAACCTCTAGGGCCAAAGAAGGATGCTTTAACTCTCATGCAAAAGGGTGTGCACCCCAGCTCAGTGGGAGTTAGGAAGCTATATGTAGTGTCTGTGGCACGCCCTCTTCCAACGAACAGAAAGTCTGACCCGTTGTCGGTCGTGAGAATTTATTGAGACTAAAAGGTTGCATAGCAGTGAGTTAAGTCACCATTCCAGAGTAGTTTAACGCTGTAGACCCAGGCGATTTGTTTGTGAAATCGTGGAACGAGGCGAAGTAGTGAAGTGCTGCCAAATGTCGAGGAGTAAAGTAGTTTCGCTGCCTGTTCGAGTGTCTGTATTCAGCCATGTGAAGGAGAGTGTGCAAAGAGATGTTTGTTGGCTGCCGACAGGATTCAAACCAAGGACCTCTGGGCCGTAGAAGGATGCTCTGACCGCCACGGAAAAGGGTGTTCACCTTCACCCAGGGTGAGTTAGGAAGCTTTATGTAGTGGTCACTGCGAGTGTTCCTGACTTGTTGAATATTTATTGTTTGAATTAAAAATATAGACCAAGAGCCACTGATTATAATGTATGAAATTATTAAGCACTCGAGTGTTTATTTAAGAAAATGCAAGCATATCCGTTTTAAACCAGATTTATTTTTAAAAAAAATTTCTATATCCATTGGTAATCTGTAATTCTGTATCCATTGGTAAGTAATAAATCAATTACTTTTTTCCGCTTTTTTAAATTTCAAAATAATTTCGAATCCAAAGAGATTAATAATTCATATATAAAAAAACACATACTCCCTTTTTGCTGCAAGTTTGAAAATTTGTCCATTCTCGAGAATGTTCATTCGTGTACCACGTTCCATTTCGAGAGCACTCCTTCAGAGCATATTCTGAAAAAGAAAATATTTATTTTGAAACAAGAGAAAAGAAATTATTTTCTTATAAACAACAGTAAGACCTCAATTTTCGGAGTTAATTCAGATTGAAAAAATTTCGGCTAATCAAAATATATTACATTATTAGCATCTTTCATCAATCTATTTCCATCAATCAACACTGAAAAATCGAGTGTTTTTTTAAATATCAGTTCTATATATTCAAATTTAATTTTAATATGACCATTAGAAAATGTATTTGGGCAGTTCTTAAATTGTATATTATAAAATGTATTTGGGGGGAGGGGCAAGAATGTTCACTACAGCTAATTTAAAAATGTTTCAAATTAAATTTGTGATAAGTTACAATTTAAATAATTATACATTTGAACTATCATTTTATTCAAGATAATTACAAATATTTGTCTAAAAAAATTTCATATCCTCAATCAAAGGACTACTTTTGACTAACCGAAGACGGAGTCCTCGTAATTTCTTCCTCTTGGTAAAAGGACACATGAAACGTCACATTATATGGCACCCATGCATTACAACCAATTTTACGAGTACTACATGAAAAGGTATGTCACTGTGAAATTGAGCAATGGGCAAGTTATATTTCAAATTAGACTTTGTTTCTTTATTGAAATTACTTACATTTGCGTCCCGCAATGGACTGATAGTTAAGACACGGTTCCCGGGAGATCACCGAAGTCAAGCATCACTGGCTACGGTCAGTGTGCGGGTGGGTGACCACTTGGATCAGCCTGCGCAGTGACCGAGGGTGTGCGGTATTGGTCCTCGTCAAACTGTTCTACCGTAAAGTGCTCGACTTCGCGTACAGGTCGTCGGGCTACCGAAGCGGGGGTGCCATCCCCTCTGCAGAGGATCAAAGTTGTGATGGCATGCCTTCGGATCATCCTCAGGGATGTTTCCCAGACCGTCGCCAATAGCCCATTGTGCAGCTCTAGTGCGACGTAAATGAACAACAACTACTTACATTTGCAGGCTTGTGAGCTCAATTTAGGCTTATAAACCTTTGTCAAGCAGAAGGAGCGAGATAGAACGATTTAGAGAAGAAAATCACAAAGAATGCATCCATGGTTAGGGATTCGAACCCACCACCTCTTATGCTTCGCATAGTGTTTGGCGGACGATACCGCTTGGGCAGGGAGGACCCTATTTCAAAACAGGCAAATCGGTTGAAGAGTCACATGAAAAATAAGTGAAACTTAACGGTATGGCAGCAGCGGGCAAAAATCATGTGTTTGAGTGGTTTAAGCGCCTTTGAGATGGAAAGGAAGATGCAAACAAGTCAGTGGCGTGTGGAGGTGTTTGGATGCACCTAAAAAGAGGGTAATCAGTGGAGGAGCGGAAACATAGAAAGACTTCTATTTTTAAAGATCTAAATCTGTACTCTAAATTCATTTTTTATATTAAATATAAACGGGAACCTAATTTACAATCCAACGGCCTTTAACGACTGACTCTCTTTTTCGAAGATTTTCCTGTTGACTATAGTTTGTCACATTTATAATGAAAGCTTTTATTTCATTTGCTACCTTAACTATAAAAAAAAGTAAAAAATCACGATTTTCCTTGTCTAATCGATTTTAATTGTTGAAAAAAGGCCAAACAATAGAGCGGGTCGTTAAAAGCCGGTGGATTGGAAAATAGCACACGGAAATTATCTTGTAGAAGTTATTATCATTTCTTGTAGTTCTTGTATTACTTGTAAGTCAATAGTTATTACTTAAAAGTTATATTATTTATTAAAGTTATTATTCTCAACATAATATTCTTAAATTTTTCTTAAATGTTAGGAATATTTAAATTTAACAAACAAAAATTTAATCATTAAATTTGTTTAAAATTCATATTTACTAATATTATTACATCTCATAACATTAATCCTATTAATATTAGACTATGCTATTATTTATATTATTAAATTAAGCATACTTTAAAAATATTTGGCTTTCGCCAAAGATATATATTTATCCGTTAAAATTTTATTTTTATAATCAAGATTGTAGTAACAGATTTAAGGTTCTAGTGTCCTTAGTCGTCGAATGGATGTTCCTTCTAGAATCTAGATGGATTGAATGTTAGAGGGAGATATGACTTTATGGGCTCACTTTTTGAGGTCCTAGACCAAGATGTAATGTGACAGGTAAAGGTCTAAATTTGCAAAGATATTAAGGCGAAACTTGCGAAGAGAGAAACCAAGTTAAATAGATTATTGGGATAACTTATTTACGAATTTAATACTTCTTAATATTCATAATCAATAAGTAAATTACAGATTGATATCAAAAGTAAATTACAGCTAATGGTGTACTTGCTTAGAATGCTAGTAAAATTACTTCGCTTGCATATCTTGTTTTCTTTATTTTATGAGATAGTTCACCGAACTTTTAGTTAAGATTAAGAGATAAAAAAATGTGTATTTACAGGTATTTATCCGTTAAAAATTTATTTTTGTAATCAATATTGTAGTAATCAGTGGCGTACGCAGAATTTTTTCAAGGGGGGTGTTCATAATTTTCTGAAACTACTAAAAGAAATTCGAGTCTGTAATAAAGCACTATTATTTACCTAATTTAGACAGCTAGACAATTTTGACTTTCTATTTAGACAACATTGTTTAGTTAAATTTTGATTTGATTTTTTAAGTTTAAGAACATAATGTAATATCTTCTAAAAAAAAGTTCAATGTCATATGGGTGGGAAGTAACACTTTGAGGGCCANATATATTCACTGTCGCCTTTAATCGAAAACAAAAATCTATTTATAACTTTTTATTCTAATTTTCCAACGGCTAAATGTTTCGGTTGCATGGTTATAATAATTCACATAAATTTGTTGGCGACTCGTGATCGCCAAGGTGTTCTTTTAAACCCATGTGGATATGCTAGTTGGCTTTGTTTTTGGCTATGATATATTATGATAAATCGCCAAATTTTGGATCTCCTACCCATACTTTCTGTCCGTTGAGAATAAATATTCACTTTTAATTGCAAATTTGTGGAGGCTGGGAGCCGTTTGGGGACTCCCAGTCTCAATTTTCTAACCGTCAGAAATGTTGTTCTGGCTTTATGATCTCTCAATAGAGAGTATTATTATTTCATCCCTTTAAGAGATTTCTTATTTTTTTTATGAAGAAATGGCCATTTTCTAATTCACAAATAATGCTTAATAAAATCTAAATTTACATTAAACGATTTGTACATTATTTCCTGGAAACTCAATTGTTCAATTCATTCATTAATGGCCTAAATGAACATTCATATATTACACTATACACCTATACGGCTAATGACGGGGAAGCAAAGCCTTCCCTCACAGGATGACCACTTGGATCAGCCTGCGTAGGGACCGAGAGTGTGCGGTATTGGTCCTCATTAAACTGTTCTACCGTAAAGTGCTCGACTTCGCGTGCAGGTCGTCGGGATACCGAAGCGGGGGTGCCATCCCCTCTGCAGAGGATCAAAATTGTGATGGCATGTCTTCGGATCATCCTCAGGGATGTTTCCCAGACCGTCGCCAATAGCCCATTGTGCAGCTCTAGTGCGACGTAAAATAACAACAACAACAACTACTTACATTTGCAGGCTTGTGAGCTCAATTTAGGCTTATAAACCGTTGTCAAGTAGAAGGAGCGAGGTAGAACGATTTAGAGAAGAATATCACAAAGAATGCATCCAGGGTTAGGGATTTGAACCCACCACCTTTTATGCTTCGCATAGTGTTTGGCGGACGATACCGCTTGGGCAGGGAGGATCCAATTTCAAAACAGGCAAATCGGTTAAAGAGTCACATGAAAAATAAGTGAAATTTAACGGTATGGCAGCAGCGAGCAAAATCAGGCGTTTGAGTGGTTTAAGCGCCTTAGAGATGGAAAGGAAGATGAAAACAATGATATAATGTCAGTGGCGACTGGAGGTGTTTGGATGCACCTAAAAAGAGGGTAATCACTGGTGGAGCGGAAACATAGAAGGACTTCTATTATTAAAGATCTTACTCTGTACTCTAAATTCATTTTTTATATTAAATATAAACGGGAAGCTAATTTACAATCCAACGGCCTTTAACGACTGATCCTATTTTTTGAAGATTTTCCTGTTGACTATAGTTTGTCACAATTATAACGAAAGCTTTTATTTCATTTATGTCTTGTTACTTGAACTCCAAAAAAAAGGTCAAAATTCATGTTTTTCCTTGTTTAAAAAAAGGCCAAACAATAGAGAGGGTCGTTAAAAGCCGCTGGATTGGAAAACAGCACACGGAAATTTTCTTGTAGAAGTTATTATTATTTCTTGTAGTTCTTGTATGACTTGTAAGTCAATAGTTATTACTTAAAAGTTATATTATTTATTAAAGTTATTATTCTCAACATAACATTCTTAAATTTTTCTTAAATGTTAGGAATATTTAAATTTAAAAAACAAAATATAGCTTAGATATCTGCCAAATTTGTGCATGCTCAGTGTGCATAAGAAAAGAATCAACTATGACTCCGAATTCAATGAAAAAGTTATAACAGATTTGGACAGCAAACAAGACGATTAAAATTCTTGTTTGATTAAACAATTTGTTATGAATCAATAATTACTTAATTATTTGTTTTTGAATAAAAAGATTTTTAATAAAATTTTTTTATAACAAAATTGTTTTTCTGTGTCTCTTTGATTGTTTTTTAAAAAAAAGCCAGGGGGTGCAAGTGCACCCCCTTGCACCCCACTGCCGGCGCCCTTGTTCGCTTGCATATCTTGTTTTCTTTATTTTATGAGATAGTTCACAAAACTTTTAGTTAAGATTAAGAGATAAAAAAATGGGTATTTACAGGTATTTATCCGTTAAAAATTTAATTTTATAATCAATATTGTAGTAATAGATTTAAAGATCTAGTGACCTTAGTCGTCGAATGTATGTTCCTTCTAGATGGATTGAATATTTAGGGGAGATATGACTTTGGTGCACACTTTTTGAGGTCCTAGACCAAGATGTAATGTGACAGGTAAAGGTCGAAATTTGCAAAGATATTAAGGCGAAACTTGCGAAGAGAGAAACTAAGTTAAATATATAATTGAGATTACTTATTTACGATTTTAATACTTCTTAATCTGTATAATAAATAAATTTTATTTATTTTAGTTTTTCGTACGTAGAGACTGAGCCTAACGGATGTTTGTAAATCAGCTTACCTTGAAAATGGTAAGAAAGCATCTGAAAACTTAAATCATGAACCCGAATACGTGTCGCTCGTTTAGCTTGAAGGTACTCGTCTCTCCTTCGCTTCCCTTCGAGCGATATCGACAAGTGATATCGAAAGTAGTATTTTCTGACAGTTTTCAATTGCTGTGAAATTAATGTCAAAAGTAAATTACTGCTAATGGCATTTGCTTAGAACGCTAGTAAAATTACTTCGTTTGCATATCTTGTTTTCATTATTTTATGAGATAATTCACCGAACTTTTAGTTAAGATTAAGAGATAAAAAAAATGGGTATTTACTTGTGCAGAATGGTGGGTCTACTTCAAAATAAATATGATCAGGACATGGCTGTTCAGCAATCATTCCGGGTGAAGTATAAGTCCAACATTGCCAGCCATCCCAGGTTTGAGGACAGGCTGCGGCATCTGGAGAAAATTTTCATCTTAATTTCTTTATCTGGACATATCACTAAAAGAATACAAAACACAGCCTTCAGTTAGGTTTGTGTTTTGACTACAAACTTAGTATACAAACTAAGATTTATGTTCTATCAATTGGAGTTGCATGCAACTGATTATCTTTTCATGGTTCCTGAATTGAAGGAAACAATATCTATACTTTCTTGCTACAAGGATAAACTGCCGTACCTATCAATTTTCATAAGAGTGATAACAAAATGCATACTCTAGTAATGCGTACGCTATTTCTACATGAATTTTCTTCTTTTTTAAACCCTAAAAAAGCAAGAAAAAATCGTGAACATGAAATTTTTTCTTTGTGACACGCTTTAAATGACAAAATACCAATTTTAAATTTTTCCCAATTTTTTTCAATTTACGGACTTTGATTAAATTTTTTTATTTTTGTTTTTTATACTAAAATATATTCTTATAGTATGAAATCTCTATAAATACATTTTAGAGAGACATTATAATAATGTTATATTTATGTAAAAATCGTTTTATCTGAATAAATGGCTCAGATTTACCTGAGCCATTTTGCGTTAAATAATACTAGATTAGATTTATCTCAGCCATTTATTCAGATAAAACGATTTTTAAATAAATATAACATTATTATAATGTCTCTCTAAAATGTATTTATAGAGATTTCATACTATAACTTAACTTTCATACTTACTTAAAGTGTGTCACAAAGAAAAAATTTCATGGTCACGAGTTTTTCTTGCTTTTTTAGGGTGTAAAAAAGAAGAAAATTCATGTAGAAATAGCGTGCCCCCCCCCCCAATTTTTTTTGGCTGCCTAATTGGCGTTTATTTGTTGAATTGCTCATATAAAAAATTTATGTCTGGTAGTCTTTAAAGCAAACAAAATATTTAGTTTTTAACTTTGACTTCATTTTTAAAATAATACTTTTAATATAGAATATAATAACTCAAGTACTTTAATATAGAATATAATAACTTAAGTACTTAAGTATCGAACATGCCCTGTTAATCATAATATCTCATTTCCCTCATTAGTTAGCGAAAAATATTAATTCAATAGCATTCATAACCGAGGGAGCTTTTTAGAAATCCAGGTAACAAAGGTTTCCTAACCATGGTTAACCTGTTCTTAACAAAGGTTAACCATGGATTCAATTAAGATAACCTAATCTAAAATTAAAACATCAACAAACGCAACATTTCTATTTTATAAGAAATACAAAATTAGCTATTAAAAATGTTTTTTTTTAATTAATTCCATGGTAATGTTATACCCTTTGCATCCAAATATGCAAATAAAGAGGGGCAAAAAACACACATTTGATAAATACTTAAATTTTGTTAATTAACCCAAATTTTTCTTAAAATCTCTTTTGCTTACTGAGTGAAATTTATTTAAATTTATGTTACTAAATCAAAGAAAGAATCGACTACTAGCTTTGATAAATCAGTTGCTACGAATTAAATATTTTTGGTGGACCAATCTGACCCTTGAAACTGGTGTATTTTCATTAACACGTTCACGCCGGGGAAAGTGAGAATACTGGTAGAAGAACTATTTCAATATTAGATAATATTATTAAGGAGTTAATCTATTCTCAACAGTAACAATTCACTGTAAGGAAATTTATCACGGGGAAGAAGCAATTCAATATAAAAATTGCATCCGTTAAAAACAATTGGTAGTTATGGATTTTTATTATTCCCGGAAAAAAACTAAAAAATGAAATAAATTGTTACCAGTTTTTACTCCGGTGCGCTACCAACATGAGAAAATCTAGCGTGACCCACCGGTGGGTCACCCCGGCGTGAACGTGTTAAAGTGAATCTGAACATTAGTCACCAGAATATGATGTTATAAGAACATTAGAATATCAGTTACCCTGATCTAACTTCATCTCATATCTAAACTGATAGCTATCGCCATTCTTAATCTCTTAGATATTTAGCTTATGCAAATGCAAATTACGAACGAATTTTAAATTGAAAGCGAGTATTAAACGTTTTACTTTCTTCAAAATTTTATTTCGTACTAATAATTCAAATTTAATTAGTCTTTATAATAACAAATAAATATTATTTTCTACAAAGAATTTAAATTATTCTGAAAAAATCTAATTAAGCTTAAAATCCGCTACTAATTTAAAAATTGTTCGTTGTTAAAGTAGAGAAACTTCTTAATTTTGTAATTTAGAATATTCTAATTAGACAATATAATGAATAAGGAATTATTCATAAATAAGGAATTATTTAATGAAATATTACCGTCGGAATGATAGTTCTGCATTTTGATGCAACAATCTTTAGCTGCTCTGCAGCACTCAACCCATTTCTCCAAGAAGGATGGATTAGCAAATGTTTTTAGTATCTCTTGACTGATGTTGGAGGGATTGACAGCATAACTTTGGTTAGTTTCTAAATCACAGAGAACACCTGGTTTATCGAAGCGGTACCTGAAATATTTCTTACTCATTACCTTGAATAGTACGGAGAATTTTTTTATGGTACACAAGTTTCTATAAGATTAGGATTTATATATCATAAGTGGTTTAAAAATGACCAGCTCAATTATTTGATAATAAATCTGTTTTGAATCTTCGAAAGTACTTTTTACGTGACTTTGTGGCATTCATAAAGTTATTCTTTATAAATGCCCCAATTTTGGAATAAAATAGCTGAATATCTGAAAATGAATAAATGTTGACCGTTTGCTTGGCTATTTACGGGGGTCAGATTTAATAATATGGATAATATTACTTTATAATATTACTTTAATAATATTACTTTGATCAGCCTTTTCGAAGAGTTTATATGTAAGAAATTAAAAATATTTTCTGGTGTAAAAAATTAGACAATTAGACTCAAACAATATATTTTTCATTTGTCCTATGTCCATTGAAACCAAAGTCCTATTGCGAAACTTATGAACATAAGTAAATAAATAAATAATAAATGAAAAATTAATAAATGAAATAAAATAAATAAGAACTCCAAAAATTGTTATTTTTTCTCTTATCTCTAAAAGTAGGGGGAAAATGTAAAGTTATTTTTTAACTACGAAATTGTCAAAGCCAATTCAGCCTATTGAAAACTTGAAATGTATGAATAAAAATTCAGTCTATGNGATTTATATATCATAAGTGGTTTAAAAATGACCAGCTCAATTATTTGATAATAAATCTGTTTTGAATCTTCGAAAGTACTTTTTACGTGACTTTGTGGCATTCATAAAGTTATTCTTGATAAATGCCCCAATTTTGGAATAAAATAGCTGAATATCTGCAAATGAATAAATGATGACCGTTTACTTGGCTGTTTACGGGGGTCAGATTTAATAATATAGAAATTACTTTGATCAGTCTTTTCGAAGAGTTTATATGTAAGAAATTTAATTTTTTTTCTGGTGTAAAAAAACTCAAACAATATGTTTTTCATTTGTCCAATGTCCATTGAAACCAATGTTCTATTGCGAAACTTATGTACCAAAATAAATAAATAAATAATAAATGAAAAATTAATAAATGAAATAAAATAAATAAGAACTCCAAAAATTGCTATTTTTTCTCTTATCTCTAAAAGTAGGGGAAAAATGTAAAGTTATTTTTTAACTACGAAATTGTCAAAGATATCAGCAATTCAGCCTATTGAAAACTTGAAATGTGTGAATGAAAATTCAGTCTATGAGAAGTATAATACAGAAGTTAAGTAAAATAATATGAACATTTCAATATTAACTCCAAGGAAACAATTTTCCTTCTATAGACGCACTTGTTTCGGAAAATTTCACATAACAAAAAAACTGCTAGCACAAAATCTTTATTAACATTTTTGTTACCACTTTAAGAAAAAATTCCAGATCGTTGGAACATTGGCGGTATTTTCAAAAAAGGCAAAATACATGAAATGACCGCGTTCTCCGCTGATGATACTGCGGTGTCATGCAGCAAGGTGTCCAAATCTTGCAATCAGTAAATTCAAAGACATTGGCGGGAAAACCGTCTTAAATGCAGAAAATCACAACTGATGCTCATAAGAAAATATAAGAGAAAAACCACCATAACAGAAATTGTCCATCTAATTCAATAGGTAGAGAAATGCCGCAAATGCCTACAAATTACTCAGATTCAAAAACAAAATAATGTGAACCTAGTTCACTCAAGGCCCAGCTTTTTTGAACTTACAAGTAAGCCAGATACAAATATATTAACTATTATTTTATAGTTAATTAATATTCACCTTAGTTTCGATACGAAAGCCACTGATGGCATATACTTATAGCACCTAGCACATGAATCGGCAGTGAATTCTTCATATGGGAGAAATTCACCATCATTGTTCCTACAACGTTTAGTTTGGTTTTCATATACTTCAGCACCTCCTCTTAAAAATATCTGTAATGTAAAAGTTAGATCAGGAAACACAAAGGAGTTAACAATTCACTTTTTTTAAGTTAGAATAAAGTAAGAGTTTAAGTTAAGTTAGAGCAAGTTAGAATATATAATCAGCGGTCGGTCGTGCATCCTATTTTATAGCCGTCGTTGAACAGCCGATCCAATTTTGGGTTTATAGGAACAACTTTTTGGTTCATTAACAATTTTGGGAAATGTACCTTCATAGAGGACTTTTTTTATGAAATAAACCCGCATTTGCGTTTCATGGGGAGGAAAACCATGAAAACCTCCCACGGTTAGCCTGACGGCAAGAGGACTGCAACCTATGATCCGTCAACCAATGAGGATATTTTACGTCAGCACTGTGGTCAGTGCTAGCTGGGTGCGGAATTCGTAACAATCAGCTATCGCTGGGATTCGAACCCGGTTCTCCTCATTGGAAGGTGAACACTCTATTTCCTGAGCCACCATGGATTCGTGCATCCTATTAAAATTTAAAAAAATAATATATTTTGGGGTGAGACAAAATATGGTTTGACTATTAGGTAATGTTAATAATTCAATCCATTCTCCGCTGACGTTGTGTTTTTGCACTTCTTTGTAGCGATGTATAAAAACCTTAAAACTTTTTTTAAAAATCCTATTACTTTTTCAAAAAAAAGTGATAAGGGTTAGTGCTTATAATTTAAGTTGATAATTTCTACAATTCAGTTTTAAAATATTGCAAATGTATAATATGAGACTAAAAAATATAAATATGTATAAAATTAATTTAATTTGCTAAAAACAGCGACTTATTTCTTCTCGATAAATTTCAAAAATGTTATAACAGAGCTACCAGTCTTTATAACTCTGAAAAAAAAAAGTTAACGACGAAGAAAGATAGTTACGGCTGTTATTAGGTTGAGTGATTATAAATATTTCCAAAATTGAACAAGTATTTTATTTTTAAAGTACAGAAAAATTTAAATATTTCAATAAAATAAATTTCAAAATTTAAAATTAAATTTAAATGAATCACTGTTTTGTTTTCTTAGATTTACCATAATATTGTTCCATTTTATGCAATATAATGCATAGCTTTTAACTTTAACTCTTTTTAGCCAGCCATAAGAAAACGACAGGTCCAGCCCAAACGGAAGCAAGACCTATATGTTATACAAGGCTACCAACCCAGCAGTCCTAACTTCCTAGAATATTTGAAGCGATAATCCAATAAAAATTTAACTTAATTTGTTTAATCTAGTCCGCACTTAAGAACTTCTTGGCACCAATAAAGATTTTATATATATATTGTAAATTTATTTTAATAAATCAGTGATAATATATAAAAATGCAGGATTATTGTCTCAGTATCACTATTAAAATAAGCAAGTCATGTAACAGTCGCAGTCGACATGTTTCTAGCGCTCAAAAATAGGCGTCCTTTTTCAAGACTTGCCAGACGTGAATGAGAAGAGACAAAAGTAATTTGAAAACGTGATGTTTCCAACGAAGAACTGTGCCTGACTTTTGATCGACTGTACATGTCGACTGTTATCTCCAATGTGCATATTTTTTAATAAAGCTGTATCTTACCAATTCAGTTTATTTGGATTATTTATTTAAATTTTTTTAGCTTCATTTCGATGCTGCATATTGGGGTTATCTCGGCGTTTGGAGCGAAGCGCCACTAACCGATTCATCGATTCTGTTTTGTCGCATTCTAGGAGGTCCTAAATATTTTTAGCTTCATATCACAGGATTGCTATACTTGTATAAGAATGCTTTTAAAATTTTTGCGGTATTATAAATTGAAAAGAAAAAAGGTTTTAATTTCCTATGCTCATTTTTTCCCAATGCCCACCTGTGTTAACATCCGTCAATTCAGGCATTTACAGGGCGATTTCGTAGGCCTCTCTTTCAGGGGCACCAACGTCGCTTCCGCAGTGAGGACAGAGAAGGAAAGAACATCCATGGCGGGATTCGAACCCAGAACCTTTCTGATGCAAGGACAGCCCTCTACACAAGCCGATCGGCCTCATTTCGGTCGATGTGAAATTTTGAATGGGTAAAAAGAACACAATTTCTAAAAATTCCAAGCATGGTTTTTTAAAATGTGCCAACAGTTTTGCCACATAAAATATTCTTAAACATTTAATGCTAAAAGAAAGATTGTTTACATAGAATTTGTATAAAAGTGGTTCCAAATTTATGTTCTACCCTATGTATTGTAATTTATGTTTGCTGACATAACTGAAAACATTTAATTAAAATTTTGTAATAACGATTATGGCTGAAAGTAAAACTACGAAAAGGAAACTCTAGTAATACATCGATTCATTTCTAGCTGAGATTTGGGGAGAAATATGCATAAATAACTATATCCACTGTATTTATTAACAGTTAAACCATGTATATCGGACTATTTCCTACCTTGGAAAACGGATATAAGAAAAAAGCTCATTATTAAGAATAGTAAAAGGTAAATGATTTTATTTTCACTTTATGCGTTTTAAAAAAAAATCACGTCTGTTGGACTTTTCGCTCGTACACTGTCAAAATATCAAACACGGAACTTTACAAAGCATGTAAAGAACATTAAATTTATCAAAATTCAAAGGATTAAATGAGCAGGCCACATTATAAGAATGGAGGATAGCAGGACAACCAAAAACGTTTTCAGTGCCAGGCCAACAGGTACAAGAAAAAGAGGACGGCCAAACCTATGATTTTTAGACTGCCTTGAAAAGGGCCTACAAGTTTTAAAGATAATAAACTGGAGAACCTTGGCTAAGGGAAGAATGTCTTGGTATAGGCTTGTTGAGAAGGTCAAGGCCCATCCTGGGCTGTCGTGCCAATGAGAAGAAGAANAACAGAAATTGTCCATCTAATTCAATAGGTAGAGAAATGCCGCAAATGCCTACAAACTATTCAGAGTCAAATGCAAAATAACTAGAACAGGGGTGGCGAACCTTTATGTACCAACGTGCCATTTTTTCTAAAAAAAAATTTAATGAGGTCATACACGTGCCGACAAATAGTTTTGACTTCGTGATTATAGGGTAAATAATAATACAACATACTATCAACTCAAAACTTGACTACAAAATTTTTACTTTTCTACGAAAAAAGAAAAACATATTGCAATGTCTCAGTTATACGCGTAATTCAACTTAAAGTAACATCAGTGTGACTTCTGTTGTTGCAGATTAGATGACAAATAACTTACATTAGAGTTATAAGATGTCAGTTTAAGCAGAACTGTTAATTTTTTTTGTTAGTTATTTATTGTTAGCTTGTTTTTTTATGGTTATTAATTGCTTTTTTGGCATTAATTGTGCATTTTTTTGTTAATTTTTCGTGAATTTTAATTCAATTGTAAATATGCCTCGTAGTGAACTTTGTGATCGGTGGGGTGCCCAAATTATTGTGTCACGTGCCATAAATGGCAAGCGTGCCATTGGTTCGCCATCCCTGAACTAGAACCTAGTTCTCTCAAGGCCCAGTTTTTCAGAACTTACAAATAATTGAGATACAAATATATTTACTATTATTTTATAGTTAATTAATATTCACCTCAGTTTCGATATGAATGCCACTGATGGCATATACTTATAGCACCTAGCACATGAATCGGCAGTGAATTCTTCATATGGGAGAAATTCACCATCATTGTTCCTACAAAGTTTAGTTTGGTTTTCATGTACTTCAGCACCTCCTCTTAAAAATATCTGCAATATAAATGTTAGGTCATGAAACACAAAGGAGTTAACAATTCACTTTTTCTGCAAACAAGTTAGAATATCGTGCATCCTATTTTATAGCCGTCGTTGAACAACCGACCCAATTTTGGGTTTACAGGGACAACTTTTGGATTTATTAACAATTTTAGGAAATGTATCTTTATAGAGAACTTTTTTTATGGAATTAACTCGCATTTGCGTTTCATGGAGAAGAAAACCACGGAAACTTTCTACGGTTAGCCTGACGGCAAGAGGACTCTAATCCATGATCCGTCAATCACTGAGGATACTTTACGTTAGCACTGTGGTCGGGCGAGCCGGGTGCGGAATTCGTATCAATGATAATATATAAAATGCATATATGCGTGATAATACATAAAAATGCAGGATTACTGTCTCAGTATCACTATTAAAATAAGCAAGTCATGTAACAGTCGCAGTCGACATGTTTCAAGCGATCAAAAATAGGCGTCCTTTTTCAAGACTTGCCAGGCGTGAATGAGAAGAGACAAAAGTAATTTTGAAAACGTGAAGTTTCCAACGAAGAACGGTGCCTGACTTTTGAGAGCTTGAAACATATCGATTGTTATCTCCAATGTACATATTTTTTAAGCTTTTTTAATAAAGCTATATCTTACCAATTCAGTTTATTTGGATTATTTATTTAAATTTTTTAAACTTCATATTACAGGATTGCTATACTTGTATAAGAATACTTTTAAAATTTTAGCGGTATTATAAATTGAAAAGAAAAAAGGTTTTAATTTTCTATGCTCATTTTTTTTCCAATGACCACCTGTGTTAACATCCGTCAATTCAGGCATTTACAGGGCGATTTTGTAGGCCTCTCTCTCAGGGGCACCACATTAGATGGGCCAACGTCGCTCCCGCAGTGAGGACAGATAGTACAGAGAAGGAAAGAACATCCATGCCTTGCCCGGGATTCGAACCTTTCTGATGCAAGGACAGTTCCCTGCCCTCTACACAGGCCGGTCGGCCTTATTTCGGTCGATGGAAATTTTGAATGGGTAAAAAGAACACCATTTCTAAAAGTTCCAAGCATGGTTTTTTAAAATGTGCCAACAGTTTTGCCACATAAGATATTCTTAAACATTTAATGCTGAAAGAAAGATTGTTTACATAGAGTTTGTATAAAAGTGTTTCCACATTTATGTTCTACCCTATATATTGTTATTTATGTTTGCTGACATAGCTGAAAACATTTAATTAAAATTTTGTAATAACGATTATGGCTGAAAGTAAAACTACGAAATGGAAACTCTAGTAATACATCCATTCATTTCTAGTTGGGTTTTGGGAAGAAATATGCATAAATAATCCACGGTATTTATTAACAGTTAAACCATGTATATCGGACTATTTCTTACCTTGGAAAACGGATATAAGAAAAAAGATCATTAGTAAGAATAGTTAAAGGTAAATGATTTTACTTTCACTTTATACGTTTTAAAAAAAAATCACGTCTGTTGGACTTTTTGCTCGTAAACTGCCAAAAGATGAAACACGGAACTTTACGAAGCATGTAAAGAATCTGAAGTCATTAAATTTATCAAAATTCAAAAGATTAAATGGGCAGGCTACATTATAAGAATGGAGGATAGCAGGACAACCAAAAAAGTTTTCAGTGCCAGGCTAACAGGTACAAGAAAAAGAGGACGGCCAAACCTAAGATTTTTAGACTGCCTTGAAAAGGGCCTACAAGTTTTAAAGATAATAAACTGAGAACTGGAAGGGAAGAATGTCTTGGCATAGGCTTGTTGAGAAGGCCAAGGCCCGTCCTAGGCTGTCTTGCCAATGAGAGGAAGAAGAAGAAACTGTCGTAAGCGTTGGCAGTCACTAATATCTTATTCCTCATGAAAACCAATAAGTTTACTATTAGAGTTTTATCTTCTCTCTTTATGCTTCCTTTAATAAGTTGTAATGATTTAAATTGTTTAATTACAGATTTTCATAAATTAAACTTTTTTGTGAATAAATTACTTTTTCTTCAATTAACAGCAACGTTCATTTTATTATGATGAAGCACTATAAAATATTAATGAGTAGATATTTCTGCAACGAAAATAAAGAATGCAATATTTTTTATATTTAAAAAATTGTTTTCGAAATTATTTTCTTTTTTCTAATTAAAAGTACAATTTGGCAAAATACTCTTTTAAAACTGAGCATATAAGTGATTGCTATAATGGAACTCATAATTTCTATACATAAATTTTAAAGATGAGTCATATTTACCTCAAAATATACTAAAGCTATGAGGGCACGCATTCTGATGTCTTTATTCACATTTATGAAATGAAACTCGCTGATTCCATACTCCAAATGATATTCAATGCTGTAATAGCAGCCTAAGCGGCCTCTAAGCTTCGGTACTATCTCATATCTATAAATAAAGTAATCATTGACGAAAATAATGAGATTAAATCTAAATATTATTATTAGGAAGAAAAAAAAGATTTGATACCGAGAAGAAATAGTTTATACTTTATACTTGTGATATATTTTCCTCATGAAATTTTAAAATTTCTACAGGCTGAGCAAACGCCTCCTAGAGCTGAAGGCCTCCACGCGGTTTTTTGTAGGTAGTCCGATCAGACCACTATGATGGTAAACCAATCAGTGAAAGAACCATTTAATCGGAAATCTATGAAAAATTAGAAAGTGGTAGCAAATATGTGTCTAAAAATTTGTTTAATTTGCGAATATAGTTGCTTTGTTTTATTTACTTGTCAACCACTACAGATTCAATTCTCAAATATATGAGATAAATTTCTCTCAATTACTTTTAAAATAGAATTTGGGATCATGCGCACAAGTGGTTCGCTTTTTAAATAATCTGCGCAGACTACTTATAAGAAACCGTGTGGAGGCTTTCTGATGTAGGAGGTGATGGCTCAGTACTCAGTTCCATGTTCTGAACAGTCTCTTTACTATGTTAAACTCAGTTTTTTCAACGTCTTTATCTTTTCGCTCAGTAATAGGCTCTTGATGTTTTTCAATCACAGTATTGAGGGGGTCAGATTTTGCTGTGTTAGGTCGAAACAATCTCGCTAAACAAGCTCTAGACACTTCACCTATCACATCAAAGATCTATCTGTCAGTATTATGGTCTCAATATTTCCAGCAATATTTGTATATTCACGAAGCACATTTATGTTTACTGGGAGTTTGAGATAGAATTGCAAAATTCCAGATTGTCCAGACGATCTTGGTGGAAGATGCTCAGGAGTTATCCCAAGAGTCGTAAGATCGAAGGAAGACGATGATACGTCATTACGAGATGTAGCAAAGCAGCGGCCGGGAGGTAAATTCTTNGTCGTTGAACAGCCGACCCAATTTTGGGTTTATGGCTACTAATGCTCAATTCCGTAGCCTTTTAATTTTGAACCAATCCAGAAGACAAAGAAACTCCTGGATCAGTACCCCCAGAGGTATGATTTGTTATGGGAACATGGAGGACTTCGTGACTCAACAGATTTAACGTGCATTAGTCCCCATTTACTACACGGGGAGACTTCGGCCGGCGGGGATCAAACCCACGACCTCTTGGACATGGGCCCGGTGCCCGCAGTCAGGTATTGTAATAAAATGCAGTTTGTTTACTAGTTCTCGTTACGTTTGGTAAGACGTACAAAGTCTGAGGCAGTCTGCTGCTATGAAAACAAGAATAGCCCACTTCAGGGAGGGTATCCTCTTTTCACTCTAGGGCAAACACAATAGACCGAAGAAAAAGATTCCCTTTCTCTCGCGGACCCTTAGCTTAACCTGTCCTACGCAATGACCCCACACCCCTACTTGAAATAGTTATACCTCGTTACCATAGTTATCACTATGGGTCCAGATGAATGAGTAGGGGAGTTCTTACTTTATACAAACTATATTTCAGCATCTATTTATGACTCTAAAAGTAACCTTTTCTTTTCTCCAACTTTCTTTATAACTCATAAAATTTCTAAATTCATGATCATTTAATTTCAAGATGGAAAGGTAAGAGGCCCCTTCTGGGTCTAAAGGCCTTGTACAATCCTTATGACTATGCATTTATCTCCCGGTGATACGTTTAAATAGTAGGCGTAATTATCCTTTTTCAAGAAGGTTTACTTTTTAATTCGCTACCAATTTATAAAAGCTTTCGCAGAATGAGGAGCAGGTTGGCATCCCTGTAGCTGCCGATTTTCTGAAGAAATTAAATATTTCTGGCTACCAAACCTCATTACAAGTACAGGGTTATTGATAATTCCCTCCGCCTGTAAACGCCATTTTTCTTTACTACAACTGGCTTCAGTGGCACATGTTACTGCCATCTACCGGCAACTGCTTAAATTAAAACTTGAATACTTTCGGAATAATTTCATACGTTCTTTTTTGCCATATTCGTCTTCGTTTTTTTTCTATAACGCTTCGAAACCCGGGAGGGAATTATGAATAACCCTGTATAATATTAGATAGAGGAATGTTTCTTATCTGAAATTAATTGTATCGTGGTTGATTCATTATTAGAAATGGTAAAAGCTTTCACTTTACTATTTAAAAAAGTTTGAAATAAGAAGATTTATTTGCCAATTTTTTATCTTTTCCGGGATATAAACAGCCCTGTACAGGGCTCGGGGAAAAAAATTAAAATTGGTGATAATTTTGTTCTTCTGAAGCACTTTTCACTACAATATATTGTAAAAGTAAAAGCATTAATCGGTTAAAATATGTAAATATTTCTTTTCATCGGCAAATTACTTATAGTTTTAAATATTAATCGCATGAATTCAGATTCATAAAAAACTTATACATGCTTAAGGAGAATTTACTGTGAATAAATTTTGCGATCTTTGAAAAAAATTGCTTGACCACCTTTTGTCCTTTTTCAATAATGTAGTTGTTCTCAAACACTAGCACGGGTTGTTATAGCTTATATAAATTGAAAGCTTAAAGTGTTTAAAACGGAAAAAAAGCATCACTTTAACAATTAAATTATTTTTTCGGAACTAAACCTGATTCGTGCCATTGAGTTTAAATTCAATAACCAACATTTATTTGAAAGTATCATATTTTTTTAAAATTAATTAATGCACATGAATTATTTTGAAGTTTACGGAAAAGAACGTTTCCAACTTCATGCTTCTTATCTAATTAAAAAATTTTAGAAGCTCCGAAAATTTTCTAAAATCCTATAATTACACTTATAGTAATGTGATATAGTAAAGGTATACAAATAATACATTTTTCAACTAGTGAATTTTTAAAATTTTTTAAAAATTAAAATGAAGAACTTTATTGTTTTTAGCTGAATACAAGATTAACTGCCACAAAGATCATTGTTAATAGATGCATCATATTCAAAAAGCCATCACCATAATTATATTCACATATGACTCAGAAACCTGGGCTATTAGAAATAGGGGAGATGGCAGATATTGTCCATCTAAAGTTAATCAAATTTGTTGATCCATCCGCCGAATACACCGATCCTGTTTAACATTCAGAGTTTTTCATTTTAAACCGATTGGAATACGAACAAGATGTAGGCCCAGTCTGAGGTGGGTCGGCTGCATTAACCCTTTCGCTCCGACTGTCACAAATAGGTGCCATCATAAAACCGTATCAATCAGGGTAAAAAGATAAAACTGGTAATCAGAGTTTTTCTTTAGCAGTTTATTTGTGGCCGGAGTTATAATTGTTTGATTTATTTAATTCACCATTACTTTGTTCAAAATAAAACTATTTAGTTATACTTTGAATTAACATTATGATTATATATATGATTAAACTAACAATAATTAAAGTAAAAGCAAAGTAAGTCTGTCAAATTAGCAACGACTACATTTAAGTTACCGTTTTTTATCTAATTACATCCTGATTCTGATTTTGTACGAATGCTTTTCTGAATCACCCGTCCCCAAGGGGTTAGGGATTTTTTTTAAGGCTCCATTTTTTTTTTTTTTTTTGAAATGATGCTTTTTTTGCCAATAATATGGTATTTTCATAACTGCTGTGAGTTTACAACAGTTACTCATAACTGTTAAGTCAAGTTCAGTCATCGAAAGCCAGCGTTGCCTATGCTTATTGCGTGCCAAACGTCGATATGGAAAAAAGTCACAGTTTTAACAAAATGAAAGGCCTAATTTTTTAATATTTATAAGCTTACTTCAATGCTGTATTATCTGGGGTCATAAAAATTTTCAAAAACTGAAAGAAAGATGATTTTGATAATTTTCCTCTCGATGGAAAAATGACGCCTAATTGGCGATTTTATAAAAAAAAGTTTAATAACTTTTAAACTATTAAAGGTATTTGTCTGTTCTAAAGCCCAGATAATTCTTCATGACAAGATAATGTATATAACTAGTTTAAAATCATCGTTTTGCTTCAAGTGTAAGGTACTTAAGTGGTCTTTTTTTTTTTTTTTTGGCAACAGATCTTCGAAAAACCATGTTAATGGAGATTTCAAAGTACTAAAAGTGAAAAACCGGAAAAACACTGGCGAGTAAAGGAACAGAATGGGAAAAAATCCTGAAGAAGGCCTTAGCTCACAAAGGGCTGTCGAGTCAACAAAATAGAAAAAGATAAATAATAATACTATTATTGGATGTATAGAATTAAAAAAATATAAAATATTAGAAGAAACAAAAAAAAATGATAGAACAAATAAAGAGTAGGTGTAATGGAAACTCATTTTAAAAATTCGTACCAGGACTATTTAGGCTTAAAATTGACGTATTTTTTCATTAAAAAGGGAGGCACGTTTATGTTTAAGTTCATGCTTCATCCAAAAATAGATAAAGAATGAAAGCATTTTGCCATAACTTTTTTCTCTCAAGGATATTAAAAAAAATTAAATATCTGCTATTATTTGTCTTGAATACTTTTATAAGCAACATTTAATCAGTCAAATCAAATTACAGCCATAATTGGAATCTTAAAAATATATTTGATTTTCTGAAAGTATTTTGGTGAGGAATTTATCGGATAAAAATTACTATGTTTGCGATGAACTTCAGATAACAGCATAAAAAGTGAGAAAAAGATTTCAACAACACCTAAAAATTTCTTGGAATATTACTAAACATAAATCATCTAGTAAAGCAAAATATCTTTGAAGGAAATATATACTTGTTGCATGTTTGAAAGATGAAAATTAATTTGTGTTGACTGATTCATAGATGCTTGCGTAAGCAACTGTTAAAAGTATCTAAACCAAATATTTACATTTTCCATCATTTCGGCTCACCATTTGCTTTCAAATATTCTAACTAAAATTTTGTTATAGACAGCTTTAATTTACTTTCCGTATTAATTGATCATTTTAAGCAATCGGGATATCATATGCTCTGAAACTGATTACATTTTTTCCGATTAAATGTTCCACAAATTTTATAGTAACTTTATCAA